GCTCGAAGCCTGGTTAGCGCTAACTGTTGGTTAAGAGGTATCAAAATGTATAGGTTTCCATGGTATCACAGGAAAAAATAATGGATTCCCATTTTTGGATATTTTGGGGAATTTAAAGAATACCCACAAAAATCCCAAATTTGGAAGAGTGAGACAAGTCCCAATCTGGGAACTTGGTTGGGAATTCCCTGGTTGGGACTTGTCTCACTTTGCCAAATTTGGGATTTTTATGGGTATTCTTTAAAAACCCAAAAATATCCAAAAATGGGAATCCGTTATTTATTCCTGTGTATTTAACGCTGGTTAGCACTAACCATGCTTCGAGCAACCCGGGCCTGGTAGCTTGAGGTAAAATGCAGCTTGTTAGTGAAGTGGTTTCCTTTCAACAATTCCAGAGCGTTTAGGAGTTGCTTGCTTAAAAATTCGTTGGGTGGGGAATAAAATGCTACATTCTTCATTTTATGCCTCTACCAGTTCTCACAAACTGTGAGTTTGGGATTCCTGTGGCTCAACATCTTGGAAAACCTGACTGGCCGTTATCCCTAGACCAGACAATCCTGTTTGGAAGGTTTACACCAGCGATATAATCACCCCAAACGATAGGACTTGATAGGAATTTGTGTTACAAAAATACTTCCTCTCCACATTAATTAATTGTTGCGACTTCCTTGCGTCAGTCCAAATTAGGACACTCCGTGTAGTCAAACATAACAATTAAAAAGAAACCGCTGACAAATTTCCCCCTCTTAAAAAGCGAACCGCTCATGTGCCAATGCTAACACGTTGTTTGCCGGCACAAGGTGGTCGTTTTTTGGCTCTCTGGTGCCGCAGAATCATGGTTGTTTCCTATAATACATCATCAGAGTTTGGTACTACAGCTATGAAGACGCAATCATTGACTGTCAGCTCTTCCCGCCCGCCTCCAGGTAAGTGTGATCGCGCTCGTTGCGAAAAATTCTGAAATCGAAATTATTGTATTGGTCATTCGTACAGTACGAATGACCAATAGAAAACATTCCTTCAAAAGCTCTTTCAATTCTTAGAGATGGTCATTAATTGATGGTTTGTGTCTTGATTTCTAAAAAATCGTGTGATATAAGCAGACTTTAAACAGCTTTTTTAGTAATTAGGCTCGCTGCTCATGCGACCATCATTCACACTTTTTAAGCGCATCTCCAGATATTTTTAGCAGCTTTAAATAATAGCCCGCAATATATCGTGAGTAGATCATCAAACGGGGGAAAAATGCTTATACAGGAATTACTAAGGATGAATGTTTCCATATCAAGAGATCACTATTTTCATGAGATAGAGTTGAAGTACAGTTACAAAGGAAGCTCTCAAGTGGAGGTACACTGCACATACCGTTGCCTTCCTGGAACCGATAGATGCTCTCTGTACATCCCCTCATCTAAAGACATTAAAATTGCTTGGGGATGAATATGGATATTTTGCACTATATTGCGTTTTCTCTAAAAGGGATCAAAAATAGTTACCACGTACAAATGTCTGCAACGAAGTTACAATGTCACCTTGTTGTCTTGCATTCCACCACATATTGCATTTGTATTGCATCATTATTGATATGGTGTCAAGGTTATCTCAGGAATCTTCAAAAAATCATTAAAATCTTACAAAATCATATACATTGTATTTATACTCGAAATTCTTGGAAGACAATAATAACAATTATTTCGTCCTGCCCCTAAGGTAACAGGAAACATGAGATGTTTTAGCTAAAATACATGTACACAGCAGACTGAATGTTCAAAAAAAATTAATGAAAGGTTATGAATTTTCATTATATCAAGGGTCCTTTCATATGACTACTTTTCAATCTGAACATTAGATGTGTCTTTTTAAAAAAGCATATCATTCTTAGCAAGTTTGATTTTAAAATTTTTTAAAAAAATATCTGTTAACCTGGTGTGAAACACTTACACGTATGTGTACAAATTTATGTAACGCAGAAATGGAAAGGCAGTTTTAAAACTTAAATTATTATTTATATTATTATTTTGATATTGATTTAAGTAATACTTTATTGATAGTTACCCTGCTTACTGTGGAACACTTAAAGGAGACCTACCCTTTACAGTTAGAATGGGGAGATAATACCTCGCTCAAGATCAATGAGTAAGTGCTGATAATCATTATTGTCGCCCATATTATTGTAATAAAAATAATTGATCATTTTTGACTTTTTGTGGGTAAATTTGTTTGTAGAACTCAGTCAAATCTAATGGAATCACACAGGCATAAATTTAAAATATGCTTTCAAAAAAAAAAACAAGGATTGTCAAGAACAAATTTTTTTACCAGTAATTATAGTAACATTGACAGTCTTAATACATACAGTTGTGTGAGGTAAATGTACATTGGAATACTTTTTATGCCTCAATATGACAATTTCTCTTCAGACTTCCATCTACTTTGAAATTGAAGTTAGTTAATAAACGAAAATCCTCATCATCATCATCATCATCATCATCATCATCATCATTCAGCCCTTTTGGTTGGTGTACTTAGAACAATGATCTTATTCCATGCAAGGCGTTCTGACATCTCATTCACAGGATCCTCCCTGTCAATTCTGATATCCCTACACTTTGTCTAAATTTGCAAAGTATATAATGTGTTCTTCTTTCTTTGAGAATAAAAAGTGAAAGGCTATTTTCAATCCCCTGTATGTACCTTTTGCAGAGACCTGACCCTGACTACTGACCATTCAATAGCTCGTTACATTGCCCGTTGCCATCCCGCATTGGGATTGTATGGGAGAAACCCACTTCAAGCGTCAGAGGTAAGAATAAACTGCTGCTTGGCTAGCTTAGTTAGTAGATTACAATCCTGCTGAGCAGGAGGTCACAGGTTCAAACCCCATTGTACCTAATAAGGGTTTTTGATCTGCTAAGAACGAGAATGCTAATATCTGGCAAAGCTAATAAATTAGTTCAATTAAATTACATGTATTTCTAAGTTTAAGTTTAATGTTTAAGTTTTCTAAGGTTACAGTACATTGTAGGTGTGACAGATCTTGCCTTAGCTCAGATAATCATTTCATTGAGTAATACAGTAATTGACCCAAGCAGTGTTACGATTTCCTTGCCAATACCTGGCAAAGCTAATAAATTAGTTCATAAAGCTAATAAAAATAAATTAGTTTTAATTAGTTTAAGTTAAATGTATTTGTATCATGGCACTGAAAAGATAAGGTCCTAGATTGAAGATGGTTATCATACTGACATTTCACTTGTAGACACAAGTGAGTTAATATTAGTCAAATCTTCAGGGGTTTTCCCAGCTGGGTAGCTAGTTTGTTACAAACTTGGTCACTGTAGTATATAATGATTCAAGTGGCTTTTTATACTTGCAGCAAGTGATTTGTAGCATTTTTTTAAATTTAGGTTGATCATTGGCTGGAGTTCAGTGTAAATTCTCTGGAAAATGCTGGTAATATTGATGATGCTCTCCATCGCTTGAACAAAAGTCTAGCTCCAGTCGCCTTTCTTGCTGGTCATTCTGTGACATTAGCTGATTTTGCAGTTTGGGGAGCTTTGAAAGGTTTGTTGATATTGGAGTCACTGTTTTAATATAAATGAATAAAGGCACAAACAAATGAATGGATAGACAGATAAACAGACAGACAGATGAATGAAGTAGCTCTACATGTATCTATTTGGAATTATCTTGATTCACTTTTTAGAACTACCCTCTCTTACTACCAATATTTTCCCCTTTTTTATTCAGTGAGTGGCAATGTTGAGAAGCTGATGAAGCCTGGAAGTTCATTTGAGCATGTTGCTCGCTGGTTGACATTCTGTGGAGCACAGCCACCATTTTGCAATGTATCTGAGAAGATTCCCAGTCAAAATAGTGGCAATAATTCTGCCCAGTTGGGGGTAAGTGTCTTTGTGATCAAAGAAAAGCCACTTAAAACTTGAATAGTTCTAACAGACAGATTCATGTGAATTGTTGCTTAATTTCAATTCATTTTTTAGACAAAGATGAAGTCTGAAGGAAAATATGTCCAACTGCCAGGTGCATCGCAGGGTAATGTGGTGACAAGATTTCCACCAGAAGCTAGTGGGTAAGTCTACCTGTAACTGATTAATACTTTTATTACATGAGGGCAGCTCTGCGAGTGGACAAAAGGAGGGGAATCCCTGTGTTCTGATTGGCTGCCTGAACAGGGTACATATATATGTTTAAGTTACAAGTATAACATGTATCACATGTTTAACATAATTGCATATTGATTGATCCTCTCAAACTGATTAATTTCTTCTGTGCCAAATGTGAACCTTGTCGAGTTTGGCTTATAGTTAAGCAGTGCATGTCTCTTGCTTCTGGGTAAAGTCCGGATGAAAACTAAATTACTTGTTTTACCAGTAAATGGGCTGAAATTTAAGTTTCTAAAGTGATTCAATGCCATGAGTTTTCCTAAAGGTCATCTCCTGGCAAACACACATTTACAGGTGTACAAAGGTGGGTTTAGGGGGGAGGAGAGGGAGGCGATTCACACTTTCATCTTCAGCACCTTAATCTCTTGACTCAAATGTTTCCATTTGCAGATACCTTCATATTGGACATGCCAAGGCAGCTCTGTTAAACCAGTACTACAGGAACATGTATGATGGCACAATGATCATGAGATTTGATGATACCAACCCAGCCAAAGAAAATGCAGAATTTGAGAAGGTCATTCTTGAGGATCTGAAAATGTTGAAAATTGAGCCGGATAGGTTTACGCACACTTCAGACCACTTTGACACCATCATGAATTTTGCTGAGAAGATGATACGAGAGGGCAAGGCGTACGCTGATGATACTCCAGGAGATCAGATGAAGGAGGAGAGGGAGAAACGAGTGAAATCCGCTAACCGCGACAACTGTGAGTATTTTTTCAGTATAATATCAATTCTGGCACTGATTCTTAGAGGCAAAGTGATTGAACAAAAGAAAAATTGTAGTGCTAGACTTGCAATATCGAGGTCCCTTGGTCAAGTCTTACCGTGACTGCTACAGTACATGTAGCTGATTTTTTTCTCGGTAGTCATGCATGTAATTTCAACTCATTGACCACACGTGTAAATGAGCAACTGGTTTGCCTCTTGCCAGTTGAAATTCTTAATGCGGTTATGTTTCCCTGGGAAGGAGAAGATTATTAGATATATTGTTGTTGTTGTTATTAGTATGTTAATTATTATTTACAATAATTTGAGAACCCACATGATAATATGATAGAAAGTTCTGAAAAACACGTGGCAGTTCTTTAAAAGAAGTTTTATGCAAAAGGACACTCCAAAGACGCAATGAAAAATAATTACCATGATAGTAAAAGTTGAGAAATGACTTCAATATTATTATTTAGGCACTTATCAGAGAATAATATTTAGTTAATCCCCACCTTTAGACTATTGTATACTTTGTTAAGATGTTGTTAAATGACTTTATGTATTTTTATCATTGAATTTCAGCCGTAGAGAAAAACCTTGAAGTCTGGGAACAGATGAAGAAAGGAACAGAGTATGGCCAGAGATTTGCATTGAGGGCAAAGCTTGATTATCAGTCTGAGAATGGCTGTATGAGGGATCCTACAATTTACAGGTGTAAACCAGAGGAACATGTGCGTACTGGATTGAAATACAAGTATGTCAGGATTTTTTGGCTTGTGTTTTATTCGTCAATATGCAAGACGAAGATAATTTCCTCTCCGCCCGCCTCGTCTAGCTTTTGCTATTTGCGGGCGGAGATGGCAAAATGATGTGTATGAAAATAAAGTATAGTGTGTGTGTGTGTGAATAAATATTAGTACCAAGTACTGCCCTGTAAACATTACTGAAAGTAAAGTTGAAGTTAAAGTTGAACTATTAAGGTTGTGCTCCAAGGAAACATCCAGGAAACTTAGAACCCTTGAAACTGTGAGTCTAGGGTGGCTAACAGACATGTTTTGTGGAAAATGAAAACAGGCACCACTATAGTGCCTGAGAGCCTAACCAGGTAGAGACGTCTAACAGGTATCAATTTCAAGAACAGTTTACCTAAAAATCGCAGTCTCGGGGTTTTAACAGCTGTACGATTGCAACGATACGTTTTATTGCCACCTCCGATAAGATGCTTTGTGCCAAGTACAAAAGCAGTGCCGAATCCAGACCTTGAGATAAGGGAAAGCCTGGTCATCCAGACCCTTAGATAAGGGTGGGGTGGGGGAGCCTGGTCTCCCCCAAAAAGTTTTTGCGGCTGTTCGGGCCTCAGTTTGGACCAAAAATAAAGGGGGGGGGGGGGCAGCTCCCGCCGGGCCCCTCCCCTGGATCCACCACTGAAAAGGATCAGTGTTCAGCTTACAACCACAGCTGAGCTTGCATTTTGTTTAGACAGTCATCTAGAATTAATCAAGAAAAATGAAACCAGAACAATAAGATGTAGAGGCTCTGTTTTTAATAATAAAAGAGCATACTGTGGGATTTTATTGGATAGCTGAAGTTTTTCACATTCCTGATTTTTTGTTTTAAAAGGGTTTATCCTACATATGACTTTGCTTGTCCCATTGTGGACAGCATTGAAGGAGTAACACATGCGCTAAGAACTACAGAGTACCATGACCGCGACCCTCAGTATTACTGGTTTATTGAACAACTGGGTGAGTTGATCTTTCTTAATCCAATAAGTAAGGTACGCTGTATAGTACTGTGCAAGGTAAGGGTCCACGATAGCATTGTGTGTCCCACGTGGCTGAGAAAGCTTTTTTCCTGACTTGCTGGTCAATTTTAGGTTGACCCTCAATCACACATCATGGAGGCGTGTGTGGCTGAGTGGTTAACACCTCAAACTCTGGATCTGGAGGTCCTGGGCTCAAGCCTTGCCCATCATGTTGTTTCCTTAGACAAGGAACTTTACTCCACTTTGTCTCTCTTCACCCAGGTGTATAAATGGGTACTGGCAACATACTGCTGGGGGGTAACCCTGCGATGGACTAGCATCCCATCCAGGGGGGATAGCGATACTCCTAGGTGCCCCATGCTAATGAAACCGGGGATAAGCTCCAGCTGATTGGGCCTTTGGCTCGTGTGCGCTCGTGTGCCTTTACCTTACCTTACCTTTTATCACACATCACAGGCACATTTTACTACATGTCAGGTTAAGTGTTGCAATACTTACAACGTAACTGTGTTGGCAGACATTGCTTGAATTTTCTGAGGCATTATTATACATCTTGTGTTAGACTTTTGCAAAAGTCCTTTGGCCTAGCTAGTATGGTCTCTCACTTTTATACATCCTTTTTGCTGTGAAAGAAGTCATCTTCTTGCAAGTCTAATCTGTATGGATTTATGATAACTGTCACGAGTTCCATGCCCCCTTTAACTTTTCTGCAACAACTCAAATGGAACTACCCCTCCCCCCCCTCCCCACCCCCACCAGGCTAATCGGATGACTCTCATCGCATTCGTTAATACAATGCATGACTGTTTCAAATTTTTTTGATAGGTATCAGAAGGCCATATATTTATGAATTTAGCCGCTTGACTCTTGTGAACACAGTGATGTCCAAAAGAAAACTCACTTATCTTGTAGATCAAGGCTACGTTGAAGGATGGTAAGTAGTGAATTGTTCAAAAATTCTTATCTTCCATTAAGTGAATCTTGAATTATAATAAGTACTACTACTACTACTACTACTACTACCACTACCACTACCACTGTACCACTACTAATACTAACAGTACAGTACGTCCCTTTCTCTGTGAATCTCACTCAGTTTGCCAAATACTCCTGTATGATTGTAAACTTGAGCCGAGAAGAGAAAGGAGAGTAAACTGCCTGTTACCGATTCATTCAGTGCGCATGTTCCATCGTCTGAATGAAAGTTGGCAAGGCAACAAGTTAAAATACGTGAAGCAAGATTTGCTTTGACATAAGTTGCTATACAGCGGTTTTCGTTATGACTTTGAAGACACATATTCTCCAAATGTTGAATGGTTGTTATTATTAGCACTAGTGGAAAAGATCACAGTAAACTTTACGTTTTTCCTGCTTATATTCCTGCAAGCAACTACCAACGAGTAATTTCTTAAAACTTGTGCGACAACCTTGCCTATTTAACCTCAGAATTCTTCGCTTCTCTTTCTTCCTTAATATATTCCTGTGAGCATCAAGCAACGAGCAAGTACTTCTCTTACAATTTGAGCAACAAACTCGCTTTTCATACCCCGTCACTATTCAAACGAAATTGTTTGTCTATTTTCTTACACGAATGACAGGGATGATCCCAGATTCCCAACAGTTCGTGGAGTTTTGAGGCGTGGAATGACTGTAGAAGGATTGAGGGAATTCATCGTGTTACAGGTAGGGCCAAATTACGGAACCTCCTTTGAATTTGACATTCTGTTGCGGCCGATGAAGGGATTTTTTTTGTTCCACAAAGTAATAATAAAACTTCTCTTTAGCCTCAATTGAGGCTTGAAGAAATGGTATTCGTGCAGTTGCTTCGTTTTGCATTGCTTCGCTTTTTGATTTATTTTTGATTGGTCAAAGGAAGATCCCAAGTTCTTTTTTAACGAACTAGACTAAAACAAGAGCCAACTGCAAGAAACACCAGCGCGCGCAACAAAGGAGCCTTTTTTGACTGGTCTTCAAAACCAATCTGAAATTTAATTGGCTAATCCACCGAAGTGTTGTCAATTTCGCTTAAAGCGCGGGAGGATCGATACGCGCTTTCCAGCGCTTATCATCGCTTACGTGAATTTGTCTCGGACAGAAATTTCATACTGATGACGTAAAATCTGTCCGGAATCTGGTCAGGGGCTCTGATTGGTCCACGCAGTAGTCGCTCTTGGCGAAACGTCCCTTGCGGCGATTGGCGAAGAGAAACGTCTGTTTTGTCAGGCTACTAACTTAAGTCCCAAACGTAAAATCCACTCTAGGGACGAATCACAGTTTGTGTCTAGTCAAGGTAACAGAGTCTACTACTTATTGGTAAAATCCAACTAGTGGTCTATTATCAATGCTGCGTTCTGATTGGTTGAGCTACTACGAGGCTATATGCTATAGCCCACCAGTAGCGAAAAGCGCCGGCTTTGAAAACCAAAACAATGGCGGCTGAATCGCGTTTTGCTAGCTAAAGTTGTTTGTCTCGATATTTTTGATCACCTAGTTGGATTTTACTAAAACAATTATTCCTCTCGCCCTCATGACCTCTGCGTCAATGGCCCAAGAGCCCATTCGGGCTCGAGGAATAATTGTTAAATAATATAAATTTTCTTATCTCTCCATCAGGGTTCATCAAAGGCAAATGTTCACATGGAGTGGGACAAAATTTGGGCCCTCAACAAAAAGGTTTGCAACTGTTGAGATTAGTTTTTCAGTGTGCGTGGCATTCGTTTCATGGATCTTGTTTTTGTTTCATAGGTCATCGATCCAGTGGCTCCGAGATACACGGCTCTTCAGAAAGATGAAATGGTTCCCATCGTCATTCCTGAAGCCACGGAGGAAGTGAAAGAATGTCCGTTGCATCCTAAGGTTTGTTTGATTAATCAAGGCTCTTATTTTAGTTCACTCTTGAGGAAACAGGAAGGGCGAAAGAAGAAGAAAGAAAAAAGATACCTCGACGCTTTTGTCAGTACAAGTGCTGTTTTGCACGTTGCACATGCGTTGAGAGACAAAACGTGCAACGTGCAAAACTTGGTGCAAATTAACTTTTTGGTTCGTAAAGGGGATGTTACACGATACGATTCGCAACCACGATTTTTAGCGCAGCACAGCGTTGCAATGTTGGAACAATGTTGTCACTATACCAAACAACATCGTAACAATGTTGCAACGCTGTGTTGCGCTAACAGTTGTTGTTGCGAATCGTCTCATGTACTGCACGGGACGAATTTTCGACCGGTTTAAAATTCGTGCGTTTAGGTGTTCCGTTTACACGGAACCAATTTAACTCGTGCGAAAATTTAGACGCTTAGCCGTTTAAAGTTCCGTGTGAACATAACGAAAATATTAAACAGCTCCGTGTGAACGTATTGTCCGGTCAGGTATTTCAGCTGGTCGAAAATTCGTGTGAAGGGGCTACGTTGCCTTAGTTAGATTGTTTTCTTTGAAGAGCAAAACGTGCTTTCAACCTGAATATTATTTTCATTGACAGAACCCAAGCGTTGGAGATAAAGAAGTTTGGTATGGTCCCAAAGTTTACATTGAAGGCGCGGATGCTGTCACGCTATCTGTAGGCGAAATGGTCACGCTGATGAATTGGGGAAACGTCAAAATCACTAAGATCAACAAGTGAGCTAAAAGAATTATTAATCTTCTTTTCTCGTAGTAAGGTTTCCCTTTTGATTCTGTGAAAATTCGGTTACTTGTTAGTTTTTCCAGTTTGGTCAAGAAATTGTCTAATAGGACTGAATTGCTCAATAGTAAAATAAGCTGGGACGACTGCTTTGTGGAGGGATGGAGTTGATAGTCTTGATCATTTCACGTTCCAGTTCTGCAGCGACGGACAAAGAAATAATATATTCCAGAATGTAATAGCACGTACGCACGACTTTTTCCGTTTCTCGCTACCTTGGAGTCTTGGTCGTTCCTTCTTCGCCATAGCATGTTTATAGTCACTTATACCCCATAGCTGTTATTAATTTTGATGGCATTTTTTGTAGAACCCCTTCTGGAGGTGTAAAATCGTTGGAAGCTGAGCTTCATCTCGATAACAAGGTACTTAAGGCGAAGGTTTATGAATACGGAGTTTACATGCCTGTTCACTTCTTTTAGAGGTAGAAATTAAAAGACAACTCTTGTTTGTAAGACTAAGAACCCCTGGATATGGTCCCTAGGAAATCAACTTCAGGTGGGTTCGACTACATTTGACAAAGTAAGTGGGAAGGAATAATCGCGATAAAGACTAAAAGAGCGCAAATTGACTTTTTAAGCGAGGTTCTCATTGCCGTTGCGTCGTTGGATCTTAAAGCCCCTGATTGTGTAGTGGAGAAGTTATTTTTTCAATCAAAGGGTCGCATGCACCCATGGAGAAAATTATTGACGTGACAAAAAAAAACAAGTTTTCGACTGGAACGATGCATCTCATTAGGGTCATGAAGCTAAACTAGCGCGCCGCACATATACTGTACCTCGAAACATAAACAAGTGCTATATATGTAATATACCTTACACAAACCTACAAAATGATATTTGAACACCAAGAGAGAGGCATAAATGTATTCTCCAAGGGATATTGTCATTGGATTTAAGGCGGTATTTCCCAAGTAACTCGTTACTTTCAATTCTCTTCTCTCCTTTTCACCAGTTCTCATCTAATTTATATTCCCCTCTAGGATTTTAAGAAGACTACTAAACTTACATGGTTAGCGGAATCGTCCAAAGCTTCACTTCTCCCGACGATTACAGTCCATTTTGATAACGTCATTAGCAAGGCCGTGCTTACTAAAACTGATGACTTTAAAAACTACATCAACAAGGATTCTAAAGTAGGAAGTTATTTCGTTTGCGTTATTGTTCTAATTTAACTTGTCCGAAATCACCCGTCAATGAAAGAAGTGTTTCTTGAATGGTCGCTCCATAGGATTTCATCCACAGACGAAAGGATTGAACTTAACAATACAATTCGGTACTACTTGTCGATAGCTTTCTTTAGAAAAGTCACACTTTAAGATTTCGTTCGCATATATGAATCACGGCTCAGTAGCTTTGAATTGAATAGCCACAACATAGGATTTCATCCACAGACCCAAAAGTTAGAACCATCTTGTACAGCATAATAAACAGTACCACAGGAAAGTACTGCTCAGTAGCTTTCAGTTGAATGGTCACACCATAGGATTTCATCCACAGACTCAAAAGTTAGAACCACCTTGTACAGCATTATATACAGTACCACAGGAAAGTACTGCTCAGTAGCTTTCATTTGAATGGTCACACCATAGGATTTCATCCACAGACTCAAAAGTTTAAACCACCTTGTACAGCATAATAAACAGTATCACAGGAAAGTACTGGTCAGTAGCTTTCATTTGAATGGTCACACCATAGGATTTCATCCACAGACTCAAAAGTTAGAACCACCTTGTACAGCATAATAAACAGTACCACAGGAAAGTACTGCTCAGTAGCTTTTAGTGGTTGCACTTAAGGAGTTCATCCAAAGACTAAAAAGTTAGAAGCACCTTCTAGAGTGCAGCAAACATTGCCTCAACATCACAGCAAAGAAGCAAAGGTAGCAATGCGAGGAATGAACTTCTAAACTGTCCTTTTTTTCTTTTCAGCAAGAAATAGAAATGGTTGGGGATCCTGCGATGGCGTCCCTAAAGAAGGGAGATATTATCCAGCTTCAGCGACGAGGTTACTTTATATGTGATCAACCGTACGAGCCTCCAAGGTAGGGATCATTATACGTTTTTGGGAATCTGCCCACCTACCCCTCCCCTAAGCCAACATTTTGCCCTAAGTGAGACGTAAGTGTTACAATGCTGGCTTAGGGGAGGGGTAGGTTGGCAGTATTTAGTACTTTTGTGTTTTTAAAGGATTTATACTACTACATGAGAAATTACTGCAATTTGATTGGCTGAGAGCAGTGGTATTTGAGCTTAATTTGAAATACCTACATGTGAAAATTACAAACCTTTTGTGGGTAGTAGTATAAACAAATAATAGCATTATTTGTACGTGATATTTGGCATAAATACCACTCGTAATATTTCAAAATTGTCTCAAATTTCACTCGCGTAACGGCTCGTGAAATTACGTATAACAATTTTGAAATATCACTCGTGGTCTTTATACCAAATATCACTACAAATCATGCTTTTACCTACACTAATTTATTAATGTTATTTTAAGGGACCCTTTCTCAAGAAAGGAGGCCCCCAAAAGGTATTTGAACTTACTGGTACAGAGTGTTCCATGCCAAAACGAACGTTTGCTGACGCTTTGCCGCCATTTTGGAACATTCTGGGCCACTGAAAAAGCCTAGGCTCGAATTACTGAAGAATCCCGGATGTTTGTCTGGTGAAATATCTCAAACGAAGAAGAGAAAGACAATTAAGATCGTAAGAGTCTATAAAAGTTCAGAGTAAGTTTATAGAGCGGCCGTCAAATCAGTATTTTTGTCAGTGATGTTTTCGAATACTTTTTATTTCAAAAAAATAGTACTTATCATTGTGTCTATTTTTTTGCGTCCCAGTTGACGCAAAATGGTTTGTTATCTTCTTCACAACTCCACAGCAGCATTTTGTGTATAGTTAAATGCACTAATTAATGACCTCAGTACAGAATTGACCTAAAACAGGAGCATCCTCTTGACACATCCTCTGTAACCTCCAGCTCTTGGTTTCAAAACCCCTGATATTGACGTGTTTATTCATTTTAGTCGGTATACAGGCCGTGAGTGTCCTGTGGTTTTGTTCTCTGTCCCCGACGGTCATACCAAGCCGTCACCAACAGCTGGCAACAAAGCTAAGGTGAGTCACCGAGCACGGCGTGGTTACGTGACACAGAGTAGTATTGCGTGACAGCCGCAAGCGAGTTTTTCATGATAGTGTGACGTCACGTGATTCCCTTTTTGATCCAACATAGGATTAGCCGAATATTTCATAAATCATTCGACCCTGCTATGTATTAGCTCTTGTGTTAAAATGATTGAAAAGTCATAGCCATGTTGTGTGGTTAATGTGATCCAAAGACAAGAAGAATCTCTGTTGGTGTTAGTAGGTTGGTCAAGTATTAATGTAAAAACGCTTTTCATGGCGAAATAGCTTGCACAGACTAGTGATTTGTAAAGCCATGATGTCCTTGGAATAGCGCTGACTTTCCTGCACAAAGCGGGAGCAACTTATTCGAACGCTTGGTACCCATGTATTCCAATCTCCATCAGTACAATGTTTGTGACCGATTACCATGTCTTATTGAAACATTTTAGCATGTTTAATATCAGTTGTCGTAATAAAGATTTATCTTCGCCAGCTGTTGCCTCTTTCCCTGTCTATTTTTGGGCATCATTTGATTTTATCATCAGGGACCCGTGATAACGTTAAAATCGTATTGCTGGACCGCAGTATTTCCACAGTATAATGTATTGACAATAAAAATACGTTACATTTTAAGTCTATGAGGCCTTTGTCACAACCAAATATAAATGCGGGACGTCTTACAACCAAAATTAGGAGCTTGTGTCAAATAATGTTGAACTTATCTCGCCAATTAAGAACATGTACTATTGTAGTTTTGAATCAATCAACTTCCGGTACGATTTCAAGCAGGCGTACACTTCCGGTTTGACCGAAAGAGACTGAACCCTACTGTTTTGTTTTATCCACGTGTCCAAGAACGTTTTCCCCAAGAGAGGGTCAAGAATTCCTCGGAAATTAGGTATTTTTGAAAAGTATTTATTCGATTTTAATGAAGTGTATTGATACCAGGGATAGCATTTGAAATTCATAAAATTTCAGTAAGATTTAAAGACGAAACTAATCGAGTAAAAAATAGCTTCATGTTTTACGATCGATTGCTATGGGTTCGAGACAAAAACAACAGTGTTGTTAAGTTTGGTGATGATTTCGTTCAAGCAGAGCGAAACGGACATTTTGTGAATGGCGTTGAGTTCATCCGTTTTCGTTGCCACTTAAGTCAGAGGAGTATTTTGTAGTTTGAAGAGATTCGTATGAAAATGATTTATTTTCGTTTTGGCCTTGCGTGACTGTTGCACGTGAATGGTTTCCCCTTTTCGATCTCACTACCGGTGGGTTTTATTTCAGGAGTAGATGTCAAACTTAAGTTTGTTTCTTTGTGTCACATTCTTTTAAACATTCCAGTGGGTAAAGAAACTATTAAGTCAAAATATATCTTAAAATTCCGTTACCGGTCGTTTAGATACAAGTTTATTCATTCGAGGTGTAAATAGTTCCCCGTACTTGACTTGGAGAACGAAGATATTCACCCTAAACGTTTTTCCTGTTCACTCGCAAACTACACTTAAAGTAAACACATCTTTGGGGAAATTTCACTGCTTGAGTTTGCATCGAAACGACCGGTTTCCTTCAATCCTAAAATTCCCTTGGATGATCACACAGGAATCTGAAGGACACAAAAAGAACGAGAGTAAAAAGAAGGAGAAGGGAAATAAAAACAACCAACCACCCATGAATGGAACAGAAGCTGCCAAGCCAACAGCATCAACTGAACAGGTGGAGAAACTGAAAGCAGAAATCACTGCACAAGGAGATAAAGTTCGTGGCCTCAAAACTAGTGGTGCTGCTAAGGTTTGTTATTGATTAAGGAAATGACTACAATGTTAACTCAGTGTGCTGTCTCTGTCATTACAATCATCATCACATCATCATCATCTGCCAACATCACCATTGTCATCCTAATTACAGTCGAAGCTCTCGCTTACGAGAGCCTCAGGAACTCATTAATAATTCCTAAAGAAAAAACAAAAGAAAATAATTTTTAATGAGTGTCTTCATATCTGATATAGACATGGCTGAGGTGTACTTCCAATTTTTTAGACAAAAATAACCCCAAACTTAAATATTAGTGCAAGAATGAGTTGAATGGCAGCTTACGAGAGCTTAAAAACAATAGAAAAGTCCAGTTGGGTTATCCCAAGAGTGGTTGCCATCTCTTACGAGAGCTTTTCATTACAAAGTTTAAGTCACAGTTCCAACGGGGTTTCACAAAGGTGATCGTAACTAGAGCTGGTCACTTATGAGAGTGGTTGCATGGAGAGCTTTGACTGTTTTAACATAATTATTTCATCACTCTTTACGTAATAATATTTTTATTGGATTTTTGCTGGGTAAATGTAAATTTATGGTAATTCCATGACCAAGCTTATAAACATAATTAAATGTCTGCGAAGGAAATTCCTTGTTTTGAATTAGCATAACAAAAAGTAAGTATTTGTGGAATTTATTCTGTTGCGATGACTTGTAGTTGGATGAAAATTCCAGCTGTCAATTTTCAGGTATATGATGGATGATTGTCTTTTGTTTTGTGCTTTTATAGGAGGAAATTGATGCAGCTGTGGCTGAGCTTTTGAAACTGAAGGCTGACTATAGAACCCTGACAGGAGAAGATCTTGCTGGTGGCGGTTCAAAAGGCAAGAAAGACAAAAAGAAAGAAGCAGGGAATAAAACTGAAAAGAAAGATGCTAAACCTTCTACAAAGCAGGCGAAGATGACACAAGCTGCCAAAGTAGAGAATGGAGAAGGGGAAAGTGCAGTGAAAAAAGTCACCAGGTGTGATATTGGTTCTAAGGCCTGGTTCAGATGCCGTTCTTTTCATGAGCCGAACCTAATACGTTGAATTAAGTACATGAAAAGTTTGGTGTGTAAATCAATTAGGAACGCCTGTTTCACTTTGGAACGGCTCGATCAGCTGTTCTTTTTGCCTAGCCCGGCCGAAAATTTCGCCTTTGGATCGACTTTGGAACACCTTTGATTCAGACACCGAACTTTTCACGTAGCGAACCTAATGCATAAATCCTTATAACATGTTTTGTGAGCAGTTTGACGGAAATGCACATTTTTCGCCTTCTGAATTCAGTTCGGCTGGAATTAAGATCGGCATCTGAATTAATTTAGCTGGTCTAAATAATTTGGGTCAGTCCTAATTCGAATTAGGTTCGGCTCGTGAAAAGTTCGGCGTCTGAACCGGGCCTTACTTGGAAATCTTTAGAGGATTTCATGTAGTTGTTGGAATTTTTTCTCATAATCTAGGTGTTTTTAGAAAATATACACCACCTAACCAAACTATTCACTCTCCTTTCATCTCATTTCACTTCAAAAAAAAAGAAGAAGGAGAGAAAAGAATATGTCAATATAACATTAACATATTCATTATGTTCATCATTCCCAGACCATTCTACCCTTTGCTATGGTAAGATGATTAATTTTGTCATTCTAATTTTTATGAAATCCTGTGGTGTCACCATGGAAATGAACCTCTGGCACAATGTTTGCTCTTGACTCTTTAAATATTAAGATTTTACAAGCAAAAATGAATGTTTTTTAAATTTTCCATTGTGGCAACTATCAGGATTGAAAGAATTTATTAAAAATAGATTAAGAATATGTGGTGCTGCAGAGTTCTCATTAAGCGCTGGTAAGGGGCTAAAAAACCGGCTACTCTGAGGTCTGAGCCGTCTACTTTTGGGGGAAAATGGGTGAATTGAGGGAGTGAAAGCCTCAAGTTGCCTGCAGCAAACCAAGTACTTTTACATCCTTCCTGTCCATGGTTGTAAAAAGTAGCCAGCTGCCAGCGAAAATTGCCGCCTACTTGGATAGGCTACTGTGATTGGCATTTCTTCATGGATGGCGTTTTTTAAATAAAACATCCCTGGACTGGCTGCTTACTTTGACAAATCAGCCGTCTACTTCAAAGCTTTCTGATAACCCTGCCTGTCTGCTTTAAAACTTAATGAGAACCCCAGGTACAGTATAGGTGGATAGGTTGAACATTTGTCTGGGTGGTGCTTCTAAGTTTTGTTTTAAGAGTATTTCAACTTAAGAGTTCTTTTTTCATCTTCCGAGGTGAGCTGAGGCTTTATTTTTTATTTATCTTAATTTTAGGCTGGGACTGGAAGCTAAAAAGGAAGAAAACTTAAGTGACTGGTTTTCACAGGTGCATGATTTTCTATGAATAAATACCTAATAGCTTTTTTAATTTAATAGGATTATCATTAATAGTGTTTTCTGTAATTGTGTGGAGGCAGGGTGGAGGTGGTTGTCATTTTGAAAGGTATTAAATGTCTAGCATTCACAGCCACCTTGCATGAAGTGACTATCATGCAAGATGATGTCATTTTACTACTACAGCCAGAATCTTTCAGGGCTTTGCTTGTACAAATTGGGGCTTTTCTAATTTATACCTCACTATGGGTACCAAATTTACTGGTGAAAGGAAAACCTGAAAGGATTCTGGTCAAAGTAGTAAAATCATGCCATCGCGCAAATGGCATAGTGTTAATATTGTAGAAGTTAATGTAACCATGTGTTATTGTATTTTCAAAAAGTAGTTTTCATAGGATACTGAAGTTAAATAGCTTAACCCTTGCTGCCAATATGATTAGTCCAATGACTTAAACATTTTTGAAAGTTTATTAGTGTTGTAATAATCTTGTGGTTGGTTATTTTCAGGTTATTACAAAGTCTGAAATGATTGAGTATTATGATGTTAGTGGATGCTATATTTTGAGACCGTGGTCTTACGCTATTTGGGAGAGAATAAAAGGTATGATTCAATTGAAACTATATTAATTTTACAACCCATCTAAATCTTCATGTACAGTATTTCACAAAGTTGAATTTACTTGATATTCTTACGTAAATTATAGTGTATTTTTTAAAAATAATGAGCAGCAAACCACTTCATCCTCTTGTGATCTGCCAGAAAAATATTATCTTGCTTTTTAAAAAAGATAAAATAGGGCAATGCACTGATTGTCAAATGTACCTTCTAGCTAATTGTATGCTGCTTTCTTTACTTGTTAATTAGATGTGAAGTTTATCTTGTCTTTTTTTTTTTTATCTTTTCAGATTTTTTTGATGAAGAAATAAAAAAGCTTGGAGTCGAAAATGTTTACTTTCCAATGTTTGTGTCTCAGGCAGCACTGGAGAAAGAAAAAACACATATTGCAGACTTTGCTCCAGAGGTAATGTTTGGTGTGATGTGTCGACCTTTCAACCGAAATATATTATTGAAAAACAGCTAACTTCTTTTTTCTAAAGTCACTGCTTGAGCAGTAACTTCTCTTTCTAAAATCATTGCCTGAGCTAGCGAGTCAGTACACTGTAAGGGAATAGTTTGTGCTTGAGGCATTGCCGGGGAGAAACGAGAAGAGGAAAAAAAAGGCAGGGAGAGCAAATGGAGGGAAAGAAGATGCCCTTCTCCTCCTGAATCTTTAGTGCTCTCAAATCTCTTTTCCCCCAATGTCTAAATCCAGCCTGATACACATTAAAAGGAAATGTCTACCAAAGAGATAATGTCTTGATTCTGAAACAAAAGCTCCTTGTTAGTACTGCAGGAAATGTTTTGCAAGTGGTATAGAGATAGTGTGTTTTTTTCTTCAGGGCTTAAAGGAGTTTCCTTCCTGGAATTTTATCATTATGTATCTTCCAGACATTTTTTGTTCTAATCTTTGTACTTATTTTTTTTGTTTTTCATTGCTTTTACCATGGCAGGTTGCTTGGGTAACAAGGTCAGGCCAGTCTGAGTTAGCAGAACCAATAGCAATCAGACCGACCAGTGAGACTGGTAAGATGGAACTGATTCCTTCGAAATTCACTGTTCACAGGGTTGTTTCAAGCTTTATGTTTTCACAGCTTTCAACAATGGGGTTTACAGCTGTAAATGAGAGACTACCAACTTAGTAGACCAATCAAGTCAAAAACTAGTGCTTAAAGCAGTAAGAACTTTGCTAACTTCCAGACATTTGTTCTTTTTTGCTTGTTCAGTTATGTATCCAGCCTATGCAAAATGGATTAAATCACACAGAGATCTCCCGCTAAAACTAAATCAGTGGAATAATGTTGTGGTATGTAGAAGAACCTTTTTAACTGTTTAGATAAAGGGCTACTTGTTTGATCGTTTTCTTATCCTTAAGCTTTGCAACAGTCATAGCTCCTCAGTTATATGTCTTCCCCAACTCCTTCCCTAGGCAATTGTAGTTTGTTTCCTCTTGTAATATCGTGATACTACTATTTCTTTTGCAGTGGTACTCCTCATAGTGATTTTGGGACTTCCCCTCTTCCAATTGCAGTGCTTCAGTGTATTAGAATGAAAATTGCTGTCTTGGTTGTCTAGGGACCTTCCAATAGGGAACTTAAGCAATCACAATAGCAATGGTAGCAAGGGTGGCAAAAAGGCTATAGGTCTGGATTGGCAAAAAAACAACTTTGCATGTGCGTCACACTTCTCTCCCATTATTACACTACAACGATGTAAAATGTCCTAATTTCAAGTTTTATTGACAATGGTTTTCTTTTTCTTTTTCCTTTTGTGGGCTTATATTTAGTCTTATAGCATTCAACTCCAGAAAACTATTGGTAACATTTGACAAATGAAATTGAGTTAGAGGGAATAAGAGCGATGAATTTGAAACAGTGCAAATTCACTTTTTAAGTGATGTTTTCACCACCATTGTCACTGTGGTTACTTAACTTCCCTATTTTGATAATGCCACCTAAAAGCCTGTAGCCTGTTTTCGTTACTACTAAAATTTATTCTATTCTTTGCCTCTTGCTTACAGGTCTAGTACTTTGCTCCTAGTTTAGGTTGTATTTAAATTGTCTGTTTCCTTTGTTATATTGTTATAGAGATGGGAGTTCAAACATCCCCAACCATTTCTAAGAACAAGAGAGTTCCTTTGGCAAGAAGGACATTCTGCCTTTGCATCTTATGATGAAGCAGTTGAGGAGGTAAAGATAGAAAAAATAAAATTGTGCATGGCCAGAGAAGCCTGCAATCCTAATCTCTAGGCTACTATTACGCCTGCGTGGCACGTACAATGTATGTAGCATTTGCTTGGACTTGCGCTAAGCATGAACTGAATGTATAGAATGCAATCGGGTCCCACGTTTGAGCCTTCTATCTCTTGAAACTAATTCAAAGCAGAGTGTTGGAGGAGAAGCATTTGTATTGACCTCACTCTCACTGCCTGATGATCCCTAATCTTTGGTTAAATTATAACTATTTATTGGTGACATCATAGGTTGTTGTCCACAAACCTCTAATGTTAGGATTACATGACCGGTCAATTATGTCTATCTTCCTAATTGAGTTTATGCACTAAAGGGTTTCAATGTATGATTTTCTTCTACTTCTCTCAGGTTTACACCATTTTAGATCTGTACCGGCAAGTCTACACCGATCTCCTTGCGATTCCAGTAGTGAAGGGTAGAAAAACTGAAAAAGAGAAATTTGCTGGTGGAGACTTCACGACAACAGTGGAAATTTACATTGCAGCCAGTGGACGTGGAATTCAGGTTCCCATTTCACCTTTCCATTTTTTATTGCTGTGATCAAGTCCTTGTTAATAAATTTTTGCCTTCACTATTTATGCTCAGCCTTCACAAATCAAGCCACAAAAGCCACAGCTTTAATAATTTCAGTCAACTATTTCATTTGGAGATATTCCATTTTAAACCCTGAAAATTTCCCAGTTGCCTCATTGGCGTCTTTAACTTTCAACAGACCTGCAGTTTTTGATGGCTAATATTATGTTCTTAAATCTCACTTTCAAAGGGCTCAAAATAACACAGAATATTACGGTTAACCACGTCTTTTCAGCTTTTCAATTTTTACTGTAACTCTTTCTATGGGTGAGTAAGTTGTTGGGAAGTTAAAAGGTAATCCATGTCATTATAACTAAATGGGTGATTTAACTGATTAGGGTCATCACTTGGGTGACTAGGGTGACTTGGGTGGCCTGTGAGACTTGGTGACTAGGGTGACTTGGGTGATTTGGGTGACCTCGGTGACTAGGATGACTTGGGTGACGAGGGTGACTAGAGTGACTTGGGTACCTGATATCTACCTCTATAACTAGTAAACCACTCAACGATTTTAAGCTAGAATTATGCACACAAGGGTGAACCTAGGGTGACTTGGGTGACTTGGATGACTAGGGTGACCTGGGTGACAAGGATGACTTGGGTGACTAGAGTGACTAGGGTGACTTGGGTGACTAGGGCAACTAGGGTGACTTGGGTGACGTGACTAGGGTGTAACTGGGGTGAATTGGGTGACTAGGGTGACTTGGATGACTAGGGTGACCTGCGTGACAAGGATGACTTAGGTGACTTGGGTGACTAGAGTGACGAGGGTGACTTGGGTGACTACAGTGACTAGGGTGTAACTAGGGTCATGAGGGTGACTAGGGTGACCAGGGTGACTAAGTTGACTAGAGTGATTAGGACGACTAGGGTAACTTTGGTGAGTAGGGTAACTTGTATGACTAGGGTGACTAGGGTGACTTGGGTGACCAGGCTGACCAGAGTGACTAGGATGACTTAGGTGACTTGGGTGACTACGGTGACTATGGTGAAAAGGGGGGACTAGCGAGACTAGGGTGACTAGGGTGATTAGGGTGACTTGGGTGACCTGGGTGACTTGGGTGACTAGGGTGACTAGGGTGGCCACGGTGACTTGGGTGACTGGGGTGACAAGGGTGACTAGGGTAACTTGGGTGACTACGGTGACTTGGGTGACCAGGGTGACTAAGGTGACTAGAGTGATTAGGAAGACTAGGGTGACTTTCTTGACTAGAGTGACTTTGGTGACTAGGGTGCCTTGCGTGACTAGGGTGACTTGGGTGCCTGACCAGGATGATAAGAGTGACTTAGGTGACTAGGGTGACTAGGGTAACTTGTATGACTAGGGTGACTTGGGTAACTAGGCTGACGAGGCTGGCTAGAGTGACAAGGTTGACTTGGGTGACTAGGGTGCCTAGGGTGACTAGGTGACAAGGGTGACGAGAGTGACTTGGGAGCCTTGGGTGACTAGGCTAACTAGGCTGACTACAGTGTCTAGGATGACTTGGGTGACTAGGGTGACTAGAGTGACTAGAGTGCTTCGGCGACTAAGGTGACTTGGGTGACCTGGGTGACTAGGCTGACTAGGGTGAGTTGGGTGACTACGGTGACTTGGGTGACTAGTGTGAGTTGGGTGACTACGGTGACTTGGGTCACTAGGGTGACTAGGGTGACTTGCATGACCCGCGAGACCGGGGTGACCAGGGTGACTTAGGTGACTAGGGTGATTAGGGTGACTTCGGTGACAAGGGTGACTGGGGTGAGTTGAGTGACATGGGTGACTAGGGTGAGTTAGGTGACAAGAAGGACTAGGATGACTTGAGTGACTAGGTGACTAGGGTGAGATGGGTGACTAGGGTAACTTGAATGACTACGGTGACTTCGGTGACTTTCATGACTTGCCATCCCAGGCATTCCCGGGTGACTAGGGTGACTTAGGTGACTAGGGTGATTAGGGTGACTTCGGTGACTAGGGTGACTGGGGTGACTTGAGTGACATGGGTGACTAGGGTGAGTTAGGTGACAAGAAGGACTAGGGTGACTTGAGTGACTAGGTGACTAGGGTGACTTGGGTGATGTGACTAGGGTGTAACTGGGGTGAATTGGGTGACGAGGGTGACTTGGATGACTAGGGTGACCTCCGTGACAAGGATGACTTAGGTGACTAGAGTGACGAGGGTGACTTGGGTGACTACGGTGACTAGGGTGTGATTGAGAGACTTGGGTGACTAGGCTAACTAGGCTGACTACAGTGTCTAGGATGACTTGAGTGACTAGGGTGACTAGAGTGACTAGAGTGCTTCGGCGACTAAGGTGACTTGGGTGACTACGGTGACTTGGGTGACCTGGGTCACTAGGCTGACTAGGGTGAGTTGGGTGACTACGGTAACTTCGGTGACTAGGGTGAGTTGGGTGACTACGGTGACTTGGGTCACTAGGGTGACTTGCGTGACCCGCGAGACCGGGGTGACAAGGGTGACTGGAGTGACTTAGGTGACTAGGGTGATTAGGGTGACTTCAGTGACTAGGGTAACTGGGGTGAGTTGAGTCACAAGAAGGACTAGGGTGACTTGAGTGACTAGGTGACTAGGGTGAGATGGGTGACTAGGGTAACTTGAATGACTACGGTGACTTCGGTGACTTTCGTGACTTGCCATCCCAGGCATTCCCGGTCATCCTAGTCATCCTAGTCATCCCAGCCATCCCTGTCATCCCTACTCATCCCTAGTCATCCCTAGTCATCCCTAGTTATCCCTGGCCAGTCATCCCTAGTCATCCCAGTCATCCCTAGTCATCCCTAGCTATCCTTAGTCATTCTAGTCATCCTTAGTCATCCCAGTCATCCCTAGTCATTGCTAGACATCCTGAGTCATCCTAGTCATCTCTAGTCATCCCTACTCATCCCAGTCATCCCTAGTCATCCCTAGTCATCCCAGTCATCCCAGTCATCCTTAGTCATCCCTAGTCATCCCTAGTCATCCCAGTCATCCCTAGTCATCTCAGTCATCCCTAGTCATCCCTAGTCATCCCTAGTCATCCCAGTCATCCCTAGTCATCCCTAGTCATCCCTAGTCATCCTTCGTCATCCCAGTCATCCCTAGTCATCCCTAGTCTTCCCCTTTATTCCTAGTCATCCCTAGTCATCCTTAGTCATCCCAGTCATCCCAGTCATCCCTAGTCATGCCAGTCATCCCTAGTCATCCCTAGTCATCCCAGTCATCCTTATTCATCCCTAGTCATCCCCGTCATCCCTAGTCATCCCAGTCATCCCAGTCATCCCAAGTCATCCTTCGTCATCCCAGTCATCCCTAGTCATCCCAGTCATCCCCAGTCATCCCTAGTCATCCCTAGTCATCCCAGTCATCCTTATTCATCCCTAGTCATCCCCGTCACCCCTAGTCATCCCTAGTCATCCCAGTCATCCCAGTCATCCCAAGTCATCCTTCGTCATCCCAGTCATCCCTAGTCATTGCTGGACATCCTTAGTCATCCCAGTCATCCCAGTCATCCCTAGTCATCCCTAGTCATCTCAGTCATCCCTAGTCATCCCTAGTCATCCCTACTCATCCCAGGCATCCCTAGTCTTGCCTAGTTATCCAAGTCATCCCTAGTCATCCCTAGTCATCCTTCGTCATCCCAGTCATCCCTAGTCATCCCTAGTCTTCCCCTTCATCCCTAGTCATCCCTAGTCATCCTTAGTCATCCCAGTCATCCCTAGTCATCCCTAGTCATCCCTAGTAATCCCTAGTCATACCAGTCATCCCTAGTCATCCCAGTCATTCCCAGTCATCCCAGTCATCCCTAGTCATCCCAGTCATCCCTAGTTATCCCTAGTCATCCATAGTCATCCGTAGTCATCCCTAGTCATCCCTAGTCATCCCAGTCATCCTTAGTCATCCTTCGTCATCGCAGTCATCCCTAGTCATCCGAGTCATCCCTAGTCATCCCAGTCATCCCTAGTCATCCCAGTCATCCCTAGTCATCCCAGTCATCCCTAGTCATCCTTCATCATCCCAGTCATTCCTAGTCATCCATTGTTCTCCTTAATCTTCCCAATCATCGCTAGTCATCCCTAGTCATCCCAGTCATCCCTAGTCATCCCTGGTCATCTCTAGTCATCCCAGTCATCCTTAGTCATCCCAGTCATCCTTATTCATCCCTAGTCATCCCCGTCATCCCAAGTCATCCCTAGTCATCCCAGTCATCCCAGTCATCCCAGTCATCCCAAGTCATCCTTCGTCATCCCAGTCATCCCTAGTCATCCCAGTCATCCCTAGTCATCCCAGTCATCCCTAGTCATCCCAGTCATCCCTAGTTATCCCTAGTCCTCCCAGGCATCCCTACTCATCCCTAGTCATCCCTACTCATCCAAGGCATTCCTAGTCTTCCCTAGTCATCCCAGTCGTCCCTAGTCATGCCAGTCATCCCTAGTCATCCCTAGTCTTCCCCTTCATCCCTAGTCATCCCTAGTCATCCTTAGTCATCCCAGTCATCCCTAGTCATCCCAGTCATCCCCAGTCATCCCTAGTCATCCCCAGTCATCCCTAGTCATCCCAGTCTTCCCTAGTCATCCCTAGTCATCCCTAGTCATCCTAGTCATCCCTAGTCATCCCTAGTCATCCCAGTCATCCCTCGTCATCCCTAGTCATCCCTAGTCATCCGTAGTCATCCCTAGCCATCCCTAGTCATCCCAGTCATCCCTAATCATCCTTCGTCATCGCAGTCATCCCTAGTCATCCGAGTCATCCCTAGTCATCCGTAGTCATCCCTAGTCATCCCAGTCATCCTTAGTCATCCCAGTCATCCTTATTCATCCCTAGTCATCCCCGTCATCCCAAGTCATCCCTAGTCATCCCAGTCATCCCAGTCATCCCAAGTCATCCTTCGTCATCCCAGTCATCCCTAGTCATCCCAGTCATCCCTAGTTATCCCTAGTCCTCCCAGGCATCCCTACTCATCTCTAGTCATCCCTACTCATCCCAGGCATCCCTAGTCTTCCCTAGTCATCCCAGTCATCCCTAGTCATCCCAGTCATCCCTAGTCATCCATAGTCTTCCCCTTCATCCCTAGTCATCCCTAGTCATCCCTAGTCATCCCTAGTCATCCTTAGTCATCCCAGTCATCCCTAGTCATCCCTAAACATCCCTAGTCATCCCTAGTCATCCCAGTCATCCCTAGTCATCCCAGTCTTCCCTAGTCATCCCTAGTCATCCCTAGTCATCCTAGTCATCCCTAGTCATCCCAGTCATCCCTAGTCATCCCAGTCATCCCTAGTCATCCCTAGTCATCCCTAGTCATCCCTAGTCATCCCTAGTCATCCGTAATCATCCCTAGCCATCCCTAGTCATCCCAGTCATCCCTAATCATCCTTCGTCATCGCAGTCATCCCTAGTCATCCGAGTCATCCTTAGTCATCCTAGTCATCCCTAGTCTTCCCAGTCATCCCTAGTCATCCCTAGTCATCCTTCATCATCCCAGTCATTCCTAGTCATCCATAGTTCTCCTTAGTCTTCCCAATCATCCCTAGTCATCCCTAGTCATCCCAGTCATCCCTAGTCATCCCAGTCATCCCTGGTCATCCCAGTCATCCCTAGTCATCCCAGTCATCCCTAGTCATCCCAGTCATCCCTAGTCATCCTTAGTCATCCTTATTCAGCCCAGTCATCCCTAGTCATCCCTAGTCACCCCGTCATCCCTAGTCATCTCTAGTCATCCTTTGTGATTACTAGTCCTCCCTAGTCATCCCAGTCATCCTTACTAATCTCTAGTCATCCCAGTCATCCCTTTCACCCCTAGTCATCCATAGTCATCCCTAGTTATCCCAGTCATCCCTTTTCATCCCAGTCATCCCTAGTCATCCCAGTCTTCCCTAGTCATCCCTAGTCATCCCTAGTTATCCCTAGTCATCCTAGTCATCCCTAGTCATCCCAGTCATCCCTAGTCATCCCAGTCATCCCTAGTCATCCCTAGTCATCCCTAGTCATCCGTAGTTATCCGTAGTCATCCCTAGCCATCCCTAGTCATCCCAGTCATCCCTAATCATCCTTCGTCATCGCAGTCATCCCTAGTCATCCGAGTCATCCCTAGTCATCCCAGTCATCCCTAGTCATCCCTAGTCATCCTTCATCATCCCAGTCATTCCTAGTCATCCATAGTTCTCCTTAGTCTTCCAATCATCCCTAGTCATCCCTAGTCATCCCAGTCATCCCTAGTCATCCCTAGTCATCGCTAGTTATCCCAGTCATCCCTAGTCATCCCAGTCATCCCTAGTCATCCCAGTCTTCCCTAGTCATCCCTAGTCATCCCTAGTTATCCCTAGTCATCCTAGTCATCCCTAGTCATCCCAGTCATCCCTAGTCATCCCAGTCATCCCTAGTCATCCCTAGTCATCCGTAGTCATCCGTAGTCATCCCTAGCCATCCCTAGTCATTCCAGTCATCCCTAATCATCCTTCGTCATCGCAGTCATCCCTAGTCATCCGAGTCATCCCTAGTCATCCTAGTCATCCCTAGTCATCCCAAACATCCCTAGTCATCCCAGTCATCCCTAGTCATCCCAGTCATCCCTAGTCATCCTTCATCATCCCAGTCATTCCTAGTCATCCATTGTTCTCCTTAATCTTCCCAATCATCGCTAGTCATCCCTAGTCATCCCAGTCATCCCTAGTCATCCCTGGTCATCCCTAGTCATCCCAGTCATCCTTAGTCATCCCAGTCATCCTTATTCATCCCTAGTCATCCCCGTCATCCCAAGTCATCCCTAGTCATCCCAGTCATCCCAGTCATCCCAGTCATCCCAAGTCATCCTTCGTCATCCCAGTCATCCCTAGTCATCCCAGTCATCCCTAGTCATCCCAGTCATCCCTAGTCATCCCAGTCATCCCTAGTTATCCCTAGTCCTCCCAGGCATCCCTACTCATCCCTAGTCATCCCTACTCATCCAAGGCATTCCTAGTCTTCCCTAGTCATCCCAGTCGTCCCTAGTCATGCCAGTCATCCCTAGTCATCCCTAGTCTTCCCCTTCATCCCTAGTCATCCCTAGTCATCCTTAGTCATCCCAGTCATCCCTAGTCATCCCTAGTCATCCCCAGTCATCCCTAGTCATCCCAGTCATCCCTAGTCATCCCAGTCTTCCCTAGTCATCCCTAGTCATCCCTAGTCATCCTAGTCATCCCTAGTCATCCCAGTCATCCCTAGTCATCCCAGTCATCCCTAGTCATCCCTAGTCATCCCTAGTCATCCGTAGTCATCCCTAGCCATCCCTAGTCATCCCAGTCATCCCTAATCATCCTTCGTCATCACAGTCATCCCTAGTCATCCGAGTCATCCCTAGTCATCCCTAGTCATCCCAGTCATCCTTAGTCATCCCAGTCATCCTTATTCATCCCTAGTCATCCCCGTCATCCCAAGTCATCCCTACTCATCCCAGTCATCCCAGTCATCCCAGTCATCCCAAGTCATCCTTCGTCATCCCAGTCATCCCTAGTGATTGCTGGACATCCTTAGTCATCCCAGTCATCCCTAGTTATCCCTAGTCCTCCCAGGCATCCCTACTCATCTCTAGTCATCCCTACTCATCCCAGGCATCCCTAGTCTTCCCTAGTCATCCCAGTCATCCCTAGTCATCCCAGTCATCCCTAGTCATCCCTAGTCTTCCCCTTCATCCCTAGTCATCCCTAGTCATCCCTAGTCATCCTTAGTCATCCCAGTCATCCCTAGTCATCCCTAAACATCCCTAGTCATCCCTAGTCATCCCAGTCATCCCTAGTCATCCCAGTCTTCCCTAGTCATCCCTAGTCATCCCTAGTCATCCTAGTCATCCCTAGTCATCCCAGTCATCCCTAGTCATCCCAGTCATCCCTAGTCATCCCTAGTCATCCCTAGTCATCCCTAGTCATCCCTAGTCATCCCTAGTCATCCGTAGTCATCCCTAGCCATCCCTAGTCATCCCAGTCATCCCTAATCATCCTTCGTCATCGCAGTCATCCCTAGTCATCCGAGTCATCCTTAGTCATCCTAGTCATCCCTAGTCTTCCCAGTCATCCCTAGTCATCCCTAGTCATCCTTCATCATCCCAGTCATTCCTAGTCATCCATAGTTCTCCTTAGTCTTCCCAATCATCCCTAGTCATCCCTAGTCATCCCAGTCATCCCTAGTCATCCCAGTCATCCCTGGTCATCCCAGTCATCCCTAGTCATCCCAGTCATCCCTAGTCATCCCAGTCATCCCTAGTCATCCTTAGTCATCCTTATTCAGCCCAGTCATCCCTAGTCATCCCTAGTCACCCCGTCATCCCTAGTCATCTCTAGTCATGCTTTGTGATTACTAGTCCTCCCTAGTCATCCCAGTCATCCTTACTAATCTCTAGTCATCCCAGTCATCCCTGTCACCCCTAGTCATCCATAGTCATCCCTAGTTATCCCAGTCATCCCTAGTCATCCCAGTCATCCCTAGTCATCCCAGTCTTCCCTAGTCATCCCTAGTCATCCCTAGTTATCCCTAGTCATCCTAGTCATCCCTAGTCATCCCAGTCATCCCTAGTCATCCCAGTCATCCCTACTCATCCCTAGTCATCCCTAGTCATCCGTAGTTATCCGTAGTCATCCCTAGCCATCCCTAGTCATCCCAGTCATCCCTAATCATCCTTCGTCATCGCAGTCATCCCTAGTCATCCGAGTCATCCCTAGTCATCCCAGTCATCCCTAGTCATCCCTAGTCATCCTTCATCATCCCAGTCATTCCTAGTCATCCCTAGTTCTCCAGTCTTCCAATCATCCCTAGCAATCCGTAGTCATCCCAGTCATCCCTAGTCATCCCTAGTCATCGCAGTTATCCCTAGTCATCCCTTGTCAACCAGAGTCTTCCGTAGTCATCCCAGTCATTCCTAGTCATGCCTAGTCATCCCTAGTCATCCCTAGTAATCCGTAGTCATCCATAGTCATTCCAGTCATCTCTAGTCATCCCTAGTCATCGCAGTTATCCCTAGTCATCCCTTGTCATCCCGAGTCTCCCGTAGTCATCCCAGTCATCCCTAGTCTTCGTTAGTCATCCCTAGTAACCCCAGTAATACCTAGTCATCCCTAGTCATCCCAGTCATCCTTAGTCATCCCAGTCATCCCTAGTCATCCGTAGTCATCCTGAGTCATCCCAGTCATCCCTAGTCATCCCTAGTCTTCCGTAGTCTTACCAGTCATCCCTAGTCATCCTTCATCATCCCAGTCATTCCTAGTCATCCATTGTTCTCCTTAATCTTCCCAATCATCGCTAGTCATCCCTAGTCATCCCAGTCATCCCTAGTCATCCCTAGTCATCCCTAGTCATCGCAGTCATCCTTAGTCATGCCAGTCATCCTTATTCATCCCTACTCATCCCCTTCATCCCAAGACATCCCTAGTCATTCCAGTCATCCCAGTCATCCCAGTCATCCCAAGTCATCCTTCGTCATCCCAGTCATCCCTAGTCATCCCAGTCATCCCTAGTCATCCCAGTCATCCCTAGTCATCCCAGTCATCCCTAGTTATCCCTAGTCCTCCCAGGCATCCCTACTCATCCCTAGTCATCCCTACTCATCCCAGGCATCCCTAGTCTTCCCTAGTCATCCCTGTCGTCCCTAGTCATCCCAGTCATCCCTAGTCATCCCTAGTCTTCCCCTTCATCCCTAGTCATCCCTAGGCATCCTTAGTCATCCCAGTCATCCCTAGTCATCCCTAGTCATCCCCAGTCATCCCTAGTCATCCCAGTCTTCCCTAGTCATCCCTAGTCATCCCTAGTCATCCTAGTCATCCCAGTCATCCCTAGTCATCCCAGTCATCCCTAGTCATCCCTAGTCATCCCTAGTCATCCGTAGTCATCCTTAGTCATCCCTAGTCATCCCAGTCATCCTAATCATCCTTAGTCATCGCTAGTCATCCCTAGTCATCCGAGTCATCCCTAGTCATCCGTAGTCATCCCTAGTCATCCCAGTCATCCCTAATCATCCCTAGTCATCCGTAGTCATCCCTACTCATCCTTGTCATCCCAGTCATCCTTAGTAATCCCTAGTCATCCCAGTCAACCTTAGTCATCCCAGTCATCCCTAGTCATCCAAGTCATTCCCAGTCATCCCTAGCCATCCCTAGTCACCCCAGTAATCACTAGTCATCCCTAATCATCCCTAATCATCCCTAGTGATCCCAGTCTCCCCTAGTCATCCCTAGCCATCCCAATCATCCCTAGTCATCGAAAGTCATTGTTAGACATCCGTAGTCATCCTAGTCATCCTTAGTCATCCCTAGTCATCCCTAGTCATCCCTAGTCATCCCAGTCATCCCTAGTCATCCCAGTCATCCCTAGTCATCCCTAGGCATCCCTAGTCATCCCAGTCGTTCCTAGTCATCCCTAGTCATCCGAGTCATCCCTAATCATCCCTAGTCATCCCAGTTATCCCTAGTCATCCCTAGTCATCCCAGTCATCCCTAGTCATCCCTAGTAATCCCTAGTCATCCCTAGTAATCCCTAGTCATCCCTAGTCATCCCTAGTCATTCCTAGTCATCCCTAGTCATCCCTAGTCATCCCTAGTCATCGTAGTCATCCCAGTCATCCCACTCATCCCTAGTCATCCGAGTCATCCCTAGTCATCCCAGTCATCCATAGTCATCCCTAGTCATCCCTAGTCTTCCCAGTGATCTTTAGTCATCCCAGTCATCCTAGTCATCCTTAGTCATCCTTAGTCATCCCAGTTATCCCTAGTCATCCTTAGTCATCCGAGTCATCCTTAGTCATCCCAGTTAAACTTAGTCATCCCAGTCATCCCTAGTCAGCCCTAGTCATCCCAGTTATCCCTAGTCATCCCTAGTCATCCCTAGTCATCCCAGTCATCCCTAGTCATCCCTAGTCATCCCTAGTCATCCCTAGTCATCCCTAGTCATCCTAGTCATCCCAGTCATCCCTAGTCATCCCTAGTTATCCCTAGTCATCCCAGTCATCCCTAGTCATCCCTAGTCATCCCAGTCATCTCAGTCATCCCTAGTCATCCCTAGTCATCCCAGTCATCCTTAATCATCCCAGTTATCCTAGTCATCCCTAGTCATCCTTAGTCATCCCTAGTCATCCCTAGTCATCCCTAGTCATCCCAGTCATCCTAGTCCAGTCATCCCTAGTCATCCCTAGTCATCCCAGTAATCCCTAGTCATCCCTAGTCATCCTTAGTCATCTCAGTCATCCCTAGTCATCCCTAGTCATCCCAGTCATCCTTAGTCATCCCAGTCATCCCAGTCATCCTAGTCATCCCTAGTCATCCCTAGTCATCCCAGTCATCCCTAGTCATCCCTAGTCATCCCAGTCATCCCAAGTCATCCCCAGTCATCCCAGGTATCCCTGGTCATCCCTAGTCATCCCTAGTCATCTTAGACATCCCCAGTCATCTTAGTCATCCCTAGTCATCCCAGTCATCCCTAGTGATCCCTAGTGATCCTTAGTCATTTCAGTTTTCCCAGTCATTGCTAGTGATCCCTGGTCATCCCAGTTATCCCTTGTCATCCCCAGTCATCCCAGTCATCCCTAGTCATCCCAGTCATCCCTAGTCATCCCAGTCATCCTTTAGTCATCCTAGTCATCCTAGTCATCCCAGTCATCCCTAGTCATCTGGTCATCCAGTCATCCCTAGTCATCCCTAGTCATCCGTTGTCATCCTAGTCATCCTAGTCATCCCAGTCATCCCTAGTCATCCCTAGTCATCCCAGTCATCCCTAGTCATCCCTAGTCATCCTAGTCATCCCTAGTCATCCCTAGTCATCCCAGTCATCCTAGTCATCCCTAGTCATCCCTAGTCATCCCTAGTCATCCCTAGTCATCCCAGTCATCCCTAGTCATCCCAGTCATCCCTAGTCATCCTTAGTCATCCCAGTCATCCCTAGTCATCCCAGTCATCCCTAGTCATCCCAGTCATCCCTAGTTATCCCTAGTCATCCCAGTCATCCCTAGTCATCCCAGTCATCCGTAGTCATCCCTAGTCATCCTAGTCATCCCAGTCATCCCTAGTCATCCCAGTCATCCAGTCATCCCTAGTCATCCCAGTCATCCCTAGTCATCCCTAGTCATCCCTAGTCATCCCAGTCATCCCTAGTCATCCCTAGTCATCCCAGTCATCCCTAGTCATCCTAGTCATCCCTAGTCATCCCTAGTCATCCCAGTCATCCCTAGTCATCCCTAGTCATCCCTAGTCATCCCAGTCATCCCTAGTCATCCCTAGTCATCCCTAGTCATCCTAGTCATCCCTAGTCATCCCTAGTCATCCCTGTCATCCCTAGTCATCCCTAGTCATCCCTAGTCATCCCAGTCATCTCTAGTCATCCCTAGTCATCCCAGTCATCCCTAGTCATCCCTAGTCATCCCACCTAGTCATCTCTAGTCATCCCAGTCTTCCCAGTCATCCCTAGTCATCCCTAGTCATCCTTAGTCATCTGCGTCATCCCTAGTCATCCCTAGTTATCCCAGTCATCCTTAGTCATCCCAGTCATCCTAGTCATCCCTAGTCATCCTTAGTCATCTCTAGTCATCTCTAGTCATCCCTAGTCATCCCAGTCATCCCTAGTCATCACAGTTATCCCTAGTCATCCCTTGTCATCCCTAGTCTTCCCTAGTCATCTCAGTCATCCCTAGTCATCCCTAGTGATCCCAGTCATCCTTAGTCATCCCAGTCATCCCTGGTCATCCCTATTCATTCTTAGTCATCCCAGTCATCCCTAGTCATCCCTAGTTATCCCTACTGATCCCAGTCATCCCTAGTCATCCCTAGTCATCCCAGTCATCTCAGTCATCCCTAGTCATCCCTAGTCATCCCAGTCATCCTAGTCATCCCTAGTCATCCCAGTCATCCTAGTCATCCCTAGTCATCCCTAGTCATCCCTAGTCATCCCTAGTCATCCCAGTCATCCCTAGTCATCCTTTAGTCATCCCTAGTCATCCCTAGTCATCCCAGTCATCCCTAGTCATCCGAGTCATCCCTAGTCATCCCTAGTCCTCCCAGTCATCCTAGTCATCCCTAGTCATCATCCTTATTCATCCTAGTCATCCCTAGTCATCCCTAGTCATCCCTAGTCATCCCAGTTATCCCTAGTCCTCCCTAGTCATCCTGGTGTTCCCTTGTCATCCCAGTCATTCCTAGTCATCCTAGTCATTCCTAGTCATCCCAGTCATCCATAGTTATTCCTAGTCATACCAGTAATCGCAGTCATCCCTAGTATCCCAGTCATCCTAGTTATCCCAGTCATCCCTAGTCATCCTAGTCATCCTAGTCATCCCTAGTCATCTCAGTCATCCCTAGTCATCCCTAGTCATCCTAGTCATCTCACAGTCATCCCTAGTCATCCCAGTCATCCCTAGTCATCCCTAGTCATCCCAGTCATCCTTAGTCATCCCTAGTCATCCTTAGGCATCCCTAGTCTTCCCTAGTCATCCTCAGTCATCCTAGTCATCCCAGTCATCCCAGTCATCCCTAGTCATCCTAGTCATCTCTAGTCATCCCTAGTCATCCATAGCCATCCCAGTCATCCCAGACATCCCAGTCATCCCTAATCATCCCTAGTCATCCCTAGTCATCCCTAGCCATCCCTAGCCATCCCAGTCATCCCAGTCATCCCTAGTCATCCCTAGTCATCCCTAGTCATCCCTTGTCATGCCAGTCATCCCTAGTCATCCCTAGTCATCCTTAGCCATCCTTAGTCATCCCTAGTCATCCCTAGTCATCCTAGTCATCCTAAGTCATCCTAGTCATCCCTAGTCATCCTTAGTCATCCCTAGTCATCCCTAGTCATCCCTAGTCATCCCAGTCATCCCTAGTCATCCCTAGTCATCCCAGTCATCCCTAGTCATCCCTAGTCATCCCTAGTCATCCCAGTCATCCCTAGTCATCCCTAGTCATCCCAGTCATCCCTAGTCATCCCAGTCATCCCTAGTCATCCCCAGTCATCCCTAGTCATCCCAGTCATCCCTAGTCATCCCTAGTCATCCCTAGTCATCCCAGTGATCTTTAGTCATCCCTAGTCATCCTTAGTCATTCCTAGTCATCCCTAGTCATTCCAGTTATCCTTTGTCATCCCTAGTCATCCCTAGTCATGCCAGTCATCCTCAGTCATGCCTAGTCATCCCTGGTCATCCCTAGTCATCCGCTGTCTTCTTAGTCATCCGTAGTCATTCCAGTTATCCTTTGTCATCCCTAGTCATCCCTAGTCATCCCAGTCATCCCTAGTCATCCCTAGTCACCCCAGTCATCCCTAGTCATCCCTAACCATTCTTGTCATACTAGTCACCCCTAGTCATGCCAGTCATCCATACTCATCCCTAGTCATCCCTAGTCATCCCTAGTCATCCTAGTCATCCCTAGTCATCCCAGTCATCCCTAGTCAGTCATCCCTAGTCATCCCTAGTCATCCCTAGTCATCTGTAGTCATCTTAGTCATCCCTAATCATCCCAGTCATCCTAATTATGCCAGTCATCTCAGTCATTCCTAGTCATCCCACTCACCGTAATCATTCCAGTCATCCTTAGTCATCCCACTCATCTTAGTCATCCCACTCATCCCTAGTCATCCCCCTCATCCCTAGTCATCCCCTGTCATCCTAGTCACCCAGTTATCCCAGTCATCCCTAATCATCCCAGTCATCCTTAGTCATCCTAGTCATCCTAGTCATCCCTAGTCATCCCTAGTCATCCCTAGTCATCCCTAGTCATCCCAGTCATCCCTAGTCATCTCTAGTCATCCGTAGTCATCCCTAGTCATCCCAGTCATCCCTAGTCATCCCTAGTCATCCCAGTCATCCCTAGTCATCCCTAGTCATCCCAGTCATCCCTAGTCATCCCTAGTCATCCTTAGTCATCCCAGTCATCCCTAGCCATCCCTACTCATCCCAGTCATCCCAGTCATCCCTAGTCATCCCTAGTCATCCCTAGTCATCCCAGTCATCCCTAGTCATCCCTAGTCATCCCAGTCATCCCAGTCATCCCTAGTCATCCCTAGTCATCCCTAGTCATCCTAGTCATCCCTAGTCATCCCTAGTCATCCCTAGTCATCCCAGTCATCCCTAGTCATCCCAGTCATCCCTAGTCATCCCTAGTCATCCCAGTCATCCCTAGTCATCCCTAGTCATCCCAGTCATCCTTAGTCATCCCAGTTATCCTTAGTCATCCCTAGTCATCCCAGTCATCCCTAGTCATCCCTAGTCATCCCTAGTCATCCCAGTCCGGTCATCCCAGTCATCCCTAGTCATCCCAGTCATCCTAGTCATCCCTAGTCATCCCAGTCATCCCTAGTCATCCCTAGTCATCCCTATCATCCTAGTCATCCCTAGTCTTCCCAGTCATCCTAGTCATCCCTAGTCATCCCAGTCATCCCTAGTCATCCCTAGTCATCCCTTAGTCATCCCAGTCATCCCATCCCAGTCATCCTTAGTCATCCCTAGTCATCCCTAGTTATCCCTAGTCACCCCTAGTCATAATAGTCCTCCCTAGTCATCCCAGTCATCCTTAGTCATCCTTAGTCATCTTAGTCATCCCTGGTCATCCCAGTCATCTTTAGTCATCCCAGTCATCCCTAGTCATCCCTAGTCATTCCAGTCATTCCTTGTCATCCATAGTCATCCCAGTCATCCCTAGTCATCCCAGTCATCCCTAGTCATCCGTAGTCATCCCTAGTCATCCCCAGTCATCCCAGTCATCCCTAGTCATCCCTTGTCATCCTAGTCATCTTTAGTCATCTCTAGTTATCCCTAGTCATCCCTAGTCATCCCAGTCATCCCTAGTCATCCCAAGTCATCCCAGTCATCCCTAGTCATCCCTAGTCATCCCAGTCATCCCAGTCATCCCTAGTCATCCCTAGTCATCCCTAGTCATCCCTAGTCTCCCTAGTCATCCCAGTCATCGCTAGTCATCCCAGTCATTCCTAGTCATCCTTAGTCATCCTTAGTCATTCCAGTTATCCCTAGTTATCCTTAGTCATCCCTGTCATCCTTAGTCATCCCAGTCATCCCTAGTCTTCCCAGTCATCCTCAGTCATCCCTAGTGATCACAGTCATCTCTAGTCATCCCAGTCATCCCTAGTCATACCAGTCATCCCTAGTCATGCCAGTCTTCCCAGTCATCCCAGTCATCCCAATCATCCCTAGTCATCTCTAGTCATCCCAGTCATCTCTTGTCATCCCTACTCATCCCAGTCATCCCTAGTCATCCCAGTTATCCCTAGTCATTCTTAGTCATCCCAAGCCATCCCAGTCATCCTTAGTCATCCCTAGTCATCCCAGTCATCCGTAGTCATCCCAGTCATCCCTAGTTATCCCTAGTCATCCCTGGTCATCCCAGTCATCCTTAGTCATCCTAGTGATCCCAGTCATCCATAGTCATCCCAGTCATCCGTAGTCATTCCAGTCATCCCTAGTTATCCCTAGTCATCCCTAGTCATCCCAGTCATCCGTAGTCATCCCAGTCATCCCAGTCATCCCTAGTCATCCCTAGTCATCCCAGTCATCCTTAGTCATCCTAGTCATCCCTAGTCATCCTAGTCATCCCAGTCATCCTAGTCATCCCTAGTCATCCTAGTCATCCCTAGTGATCCCTAGTCATGCCACTCATCCCTAGTCATTCTTACTCATCCCACTTCTCCGTAGTCATCCCTTAGTCATCCTTGTCATCCCTAGTCATCCCAGTCATCCCTAGTCATCCCTAGTCATTACTGTCATCCCTAGTCATCCCAGTCACCCTAGTCATTCCTAGTCATCCCTAGTCATCCTTAGTCATTCCTAGTCATCCTAGTGATCTTTAGTCATCCCAGTCATCCCACTCATCCCTAGTCATCCGAGTCATCCCTAGTAATACCAGTCATCCGTAGTCATCCCTAGTCATCCCTAGTCTTCCCAGTCATCCCTAGTCATCCCAGTCATCCCTAGTCATCCTTAGTCATCCCAGTCATCCCATATCCCTAGTCATCCTTAGTCATCCCAGTCATCCCTAATCATCCCAGTCAAACTTAGTCATCCCAGTCATCCCTAGTCATCCCTAGTCATCCCAGTTATCCCTAGTCATCCCTAGTCATCCCTAGTCATCCTTAGTCATCCCTAGTCATCCCTAGTCATCCCTAGTCATCCCAGTCATCCCAGTCATCCCTAGTCATCCCTAGTCATCCTTAGTCATCCCAGTCATCCCTAGTCATCCTAGTCATCCCTAGTCATCCCAGTCATCCCAGTCATCCCTAGTCATCCCAGTGATCCCTAGTCATCCCTAGTCATCCCAGTCATCCCTAGTCACCCCTAGTCATCTCTATTCATCCCAGTCAGCCCTAGTCATCCCTAGTCATCCTAGTCATCCCTAGTCATCCGTAGTTATTTCCAGTGATCTCTAGTCATCCCAGTCATGCTTAGTTATCCCTAGTCATCCCTAGTTATCCATAGTCATCCCTAGTCATCCGAGTCATCCCTAGTCATCCCTAAGCATCCCTAGTCATCCCTAGTCATCCCAGTCATCCGTAGTCATCCCAGTCATCCTTAGTCATCCCTATTCATCCCTAGTCTTCTCAGTCATCCCTAGTCATCCGTAGTCATCCCAGTCATCCCTAGTCATCTTAGTCATCCCTAGTGATCCCAGTCATCCTTAGTCGTCCCTAGTCATCCCAGTCATCCCTTGGCAACCCTAGTCATCCTTAGTCATCCCAAGTCATCCTTATTCATCCTTAGTCATCCCTAGTCATCCCCAGTCATCACAGTCATCCCTAGTCATCCCAGTCATCCCTAGTCATCTCTAGTCATCCCAGTCATTCCTAGTCATCCCAGTCATCCCAGTCATCCCTAGTGATCTCTAGTCATTCCAGTCATCCCTAGTCATCACAGTCATCCCTAGTCATCCCAGTCATCCCTAGTCATCCCTAGTCATCCCTAGTCATCTCTAGTCATCCCAGTCATCCCAGTCATTCCTAGTCATCCATAGTTCATCCTTAGTCATCCCAGTCATCCCTAGTTATCCCTGGTCATCCCAGTCATCCCTAGTCATCCTAGTCATCCAGTCATCCCAGTCATCCCTAGTCATCCCTAGTCATCCCAGTCATCCCTAGTCATCCCAGTCATCCCTAGTCATCCCAGTCATCCCTAGTCATCCCTAGTCATCCAGTCATCCTAGTCATCCCTAATCATCCCTAGTTATCCCTAGTCATCCCCAGTCATCCTAGTCATCTCTAGTCATGTCATCCCAGTCATCCTAGTCATCCCTAGTCATTCCAGTCATCCCTAATCATCCCAGTCATCCAGTCATCCCTAGTCATCCCTAGTCATCCCAGTCATCCTAGTCATCCCTAGTCATCCCAAACATCCCTAGTCATCCCAGTCATCCCTAGTCATCCCAGTCACAATAGTCAATCCTTCATCATCCCAGTCATCCCAGTCATCCCTAGTCATCCTAATCATTCCCAGTCATCCCTAGTCATCCCAGTCATCCTTAGTCATCCCTAGTCATCCCTAGTCATCCCTAGTCACCCGAGTCATCCTTAGTCATCCCAGTCATCCCAGTCATCCTTCATCCCAGTCACCCCAGTCATCCCAGTCATCATTAGTCATCCTAGTCATCCCAAGTCACCCTAGTCATCCTAGTCATCCTTAGTCATCCCAGTCATCTAGTCAAGTCTGTCTCCTTAGTCATCCCAGTCATCCCTAGTCATCCTAGTCATCCCCAGTCATCCCTAGTCATCCCTAGTCATCCCAGTCATCCTAGTCACCCCAGTCATCCCTAGTCATCCCAGTCATCCCTAGTCATCCTAGTCATCCCAGTGGTCATCCCTGGTCATCTCAGTCATCCCAGTCATCCTAGTCATCCTAGTCATCCCTAGTCATCCCTGGGTCATCCCAGTCATCCCTGGTCATCCCTAGTCATCCGGTAGTCATCCCTAGTCATCCCTAGCCATCCTTAGTCATCCCAGTCATCCCTAGTCATCCCCCAGTCATCCCTAGTCATCCTAGTCATCCCAGTTATCAGTCATCCTAGTCATCCTAGTCATCCCAGTCATCCCTAGTCATCCCAGTCATCCCTAGTCATCCCCATCCTAGTCATCCCAGTCATCCCAGTCATCCTCGTCATCCCTAGTCATCCCTAATCATCCCGTAGTCATCCCTAGTCATCCCAGTCATCCCTAGTCATCCTAGTCATCCCTAGTCATAAGTCATCCCAGTCATCCTTAGTCATCCTCAGTCATCCTTAGTTCATCCCTAGTCATCCCAGTCATTCCAGTCATCCCAGTCATCCGTCATCCTAAGTCATCCTTAGTCATCCCAGTCATCCCTAGTCATCCCAGTCTTGGAAGTCATCCTAGTCATCAGTCATCCCAGTCATCCCTAGTCATCCCAGTCATCCCTTGTCATCCCTAGTCATCCCTAGTGATCCCAGTCATCCCTAGTCATCCCTGTCATCCCTAGTCATCCCTTGTCATCCCTTGTCTTCTCTAGTGATCGCTTGTCATCCTTAGCCATCCCTAGTCATCTTTATTCATTCCAGTCATCCCAGTCATCCCTAGTCATCCCAGTAATCACTAGTCATCCCTAGTCATCCAATTCATCCCTAGTCATCCCTAGTCATCCCTAGTCATCCTTAGTCATCCTTAGTCATCCTTCATCCCTAGTCATAGTCATCCCTAGTCATCCTTTAGTCATCCTAGTCATCCTAGCCATCCCTAGTCATCCCTAGTCATCCCTGGTCATCCTTAGTCATCCCAGTCATCCCTAGTCATCTGGTCAATTTAGTCATCCCTAGTCATCCCAGTCATCCTCGTCAGTCATCCTTAGTCATCCCTAGTCATCCCAGTCATCCTTAGTCATCATCCTAGTCATCCTTAGTCATCCCAGTCATCCCAAGTCATCCCTAGTCATCCCAGTCCTCCTTGTCATCCGTAGTCCCAGTCATCCCAAGTCATCCTTCGTCATCCCAGTCATCCTAGTCATCCCAGTCATCCCTAGTTATCCCAGTCCTCCCAGGCATCCCTAGTCATCCTAGTCATCCCTAGTCATCCCAGGCATCCCTAGTCATCCTAGTCATCCCAGTCATCTGGTCCCTAGTCATCCCAGTCATCCCAGTCATCCCTAGTCATCCCTAGTTCATCCTAGTCATCCCTAGTCATCCTAGTCATCCTTAGTCATCCCAGTCATCCCTAGTCATCCCTAAACATCCGTCCCTAGTCATCCCTAGTCATCCTAGTCATCCCTAGTCATCCCAGTCTTCCCTAGTCATCCCTAGTCATCCCTAGTCATCCTAGTCATCCCTAGTCATCCCAGTCATCCCTAGTCATCCCAGTCATCCCTAGTCATCCCTAGTCATCCCTAGTCATCCCTAGTCATTCGTAGTCATCCCTAGCCATCCCTAGTCATCCCAGTCATCCCTAATCATCCTTCCTCATCGCAGTCATCCCTAGTCATCCGAGTCATCCTTAGTCATCCTAGTCATCCCTAGTCATCCCAGTCATCCCTAGTCATCCCTAGTCATCCTTCATCATCCCAGTCATTCCTAGTCATCCATAGTTCTCCTTAGTCTTCCTAATCATCCCTAGTCATCCCTAGTCATCCCAGTCATCCCTAGTCATCCCAGTCATCCCTAGTCATCCCAGTCATCCCTAGTCATCCCAGTCATCCCTAGTCATCCCAGTCATCCCTAGTCATCCTTAGTCATCCCAGTCATCCTTAGTCATTCCTAGTCATCCCTAGTCATCCCTAGTCATCCCTAGTCATCCCTAGTCATCCTAGTCATCCCTAGTCATCCTAGTCATTACTAGTTATCCCTAGTCATCCCAGTCATCCGTAGTCATCCTTGGTCATTCCAGTCATCCCAGGCATCCCTTGTTATCCATAGGCATCCCAGTCCTCCCTAGTCATCCCTAGTCATCCTTAGTCATCCCTAGTCATTTCAGTCATCGCTAGTAATCCCTAGTCATCCTTAGTCATCCTTAGTCATCCCTAGTCATCCCTAGACATCCCTAGTCATCCCAGTCATCCGTAGTCATCCCTAGTCATCCCAGTCATCCCTAGTCATCCCTAGTCATCCCTAGTCATCCCAGTCATCCCTAGTCATCCCTAGTCATCCTAGTCATCCCTAGTCATCCCAGTCATCGCTAGTCATCCCTAGTCATCCCAGTCATCCCTAGTCATCCTTGGTCATTCCAGTCATCCCAGTCATCCCTTGTTATCCTTAGACATCCCAGTCATCCCTAGTCATCCCTAGTCATCCTTAGTCATCCCTAGTCATCGCTAGTCATTCCTAGTCATCCTTAGTCATCCCAGTCATCGCTAGTAATCCCTAGTCATCCTTAGTCATCGCTAGCCATCCCAGTCATCCGTAGTCATCCCTAGACACCCCTAGTTATCCCAGGCATCCGTAGTCATCCCTACTCATCCTTAGTCATTCCAGTCATCCCTAGTCATCCCTAATCATCCCTAGTCATCCGAGTCATCCCTTTTCATCACTAGTCATCCTTAGTCATCCCTAGTCATCCCTAGTCATCCTTACTCTTCCCAGTCATCCCCAGTCATCCCTAGTCATCCCAGTCATCCCTAGTCATCCCAGTCATCCTACGCATCCTTTGTCATCCTTATTCAGCCCAGTCATCCCTAGTCATCCCTAGTCATCCCAATCATCCCTAGTCATCCTTCGTCATCCCAGTCATCCCTAGTCATCCCTAGTCATCTCAGTCATCCCTTGTCATCCCTAGTCATCCTTAGTGATTCCAGTCTTCCTAGTCATCCCTAGTCATCCCTAGTCATCCTAGTCATCCCTAGTCATCCCTATTTATCCTTAGGCATGCCAGTCATCCCTAGTCATCGCTAGTCATTCTTTGTCATCCCTTCTTATCCCTAGTCATCTCTAGTCATCCCGAGTCATCCTTAGTCATCCCTAGTCATCCTTAGTCATCCCTAGTCACCCCTTGTCATCTCATCCCTAGTCATCCCTAGTCATCCCTAGTCATCTTAGGTATCCCTACTTATCCCTAGTCATCTCTAGTCATCCGTAGTTATCCCAGTCATCGCTAGTCATTCCTATTAATTTATTCTTAGTCTTCCGAGTCATCCCTACTCATCCCTAGTCATTCGTAGTCATCTTTAGTCATCCGTAGTTATCCCAGTCATACTCTAGTCATCCTTAGTCATCCCAGTCATCCCAGTGATCCTTAGTCGTCCCTATTCATCCCTAGTCATCCTTTGTCGTCCCAGTCATCGCTAGTCGTCCCTAGTCATCCCGAGTCATCCTTTGTCATCTTAGTCATCCCTATTCATCCTTAGTCATCCCTAGTCATCCCTTTTATCCCTTGTCATCCTTAGTCATCCCAGTCATACCTATTCATCCTTAGTCATCCCTAGTCATCCCTAGTCTTCCCTAGTGACCCTAGTCACCCTAGTCAGCCAAGTCACCCTGGTCACCCTAGTCACCTTGTCACCTAGTCACCCTAGTCACCCTAGTCACGCACGTCACCCAAGTCATCCAAGTCACCCAAGTCACCTACATCACCCTAGTCACTCAAGTCACCTACGTCACGCAAGTTACAGTAGTCACTTTAGTAACCCAAGTCACCCTTGTAACCGAAGTCACCCTAGTCACCCAGGTCACCTAGTCATGACTAGGGTGACTTGGGTGACTATTCTGACTAGGGTGACTAGGGTGACTTGGGTGACTTTGCTGACTTGGGTGACTTGGGTGACTGAGGTGACTAGGGTGACAAGGGTGACTAAGGTGGGAAGTGTTTATCTGAAGCAATTTTTATCTTGGTGCACTTAGAATCTTTCCTGAGTACAAGAGGGTCATTGAGACAGCTATAGTTGGAGTTTGTTTTAGGAAGGTGTTGATGAATGGTCTTAAGTGAGTTGAATTCATGGGAGTCTAGCAGTTGTCAGATCTATGTTCTTTTTTATTCTTTTTGTGACAATATTGTACTTTGTTATGTTTTTTTTAGGGTGCAACATCCCATCATTTAGGGCAGAACTTTTCCAAGATGTTTGATATTGTGTTTGAAGATCCTGACCCAACAAAGCAGGTAAGATTGTTGGTCAAGGTCACGTTTTTTCGTAGTTAAATGTGCCTATTTTATCTTTTCGTTGTCTTTTTTGAGGGACTAACGCTCTAAACGTCAAATTTTGATCCTTAGTTGGTGGCGAATAATTATAGGTTGTCTACAAATTGATAAAACCAAATTTTTGCAAAATCAGTTGATGAAACCAAACCGGCCTAGCAGCACCGTTTCGTCATACACATTCTCTTTATTCAGAGTGATGCGAATGGTAGAAGAACCGTTATGCACACAAAAGTTTGTCGTTGGTATTACACCACGTCATACAATTTTTTTTCGTGATAAGTTTTAACACCTGATTTCAAGAGAGTTATCGATGAGTCGACGGGTAATTGCTAACGCTAATTTCTTTGCTTCTTACGATAAAACATCAAGCCAAGTGTTCACAACGTGGAACTCTAAAAAAAGACAGGTGTTCATTGATTATTCATGCAGTATCTTCAAGCTGTCAATCACGAGCATGTCGAAAACCGGAAGCGGAGGTACAATTGTATTCCCACTGCTAGCGTACCATGTCTTTTTCTTTTGTTGAATTTACAGGACAAACGATATGTGTATCAGAATTCCTGGGGTCTCACCACTCGTACAGTCGGTGTTATGACCATGGTTCACGGAGACAATCAAGGACTGGTCCTACCACCACGTATCGCTTCCGTTCAGGTAAAACCCACTTGAATGAATTTTTGCTGTAGTCTTGTTATACTCTTACTGATAAACACGAAAACATTTCTTGAATTTGATTGGCTGGGAGCAATGCATTTTTAAGTAAAGGCAGTGCAACAACGAAGAAACCTTACAGAAAAAGAGGAAAATAAATTGCAAATGTCTCAGAGAATGGAGCACCGTGATTGGCTAATAAGCGTACCAATTTTTTAAGAACCAATCAGTTGCCGCAATCTGCTGGCAGATATCTTGATGTTTGCGGGTGGAAAAATGGCCGGTGTACTTCTCCTCGCGCAAGAAGATGGGTCAGAACTGTCCCATAGTGCAGTTCGACACAATGCCTATCCGGTCTCGCGCGCAACCAATGAAAAATAGTAAACTTGTAAATGATAACTGTTTCCGGAAGTGAAGTACTCCATGTCTTTTCTTCCTTACAGGCTGTCATTATTCCGTGTGGCCTAACAGCAACGTTACCAGATGAAGAGAAGACCAAGCTATTAAACACTTGTAGCGCGTTGGAAGGCAAACTGAAAGATGCCGGCATCCGAGCAAAGGGTGATTACAGAGACAACTACTCACCTGGATGGAAGTTTAACCACTGGGAACTTAAGGTATTACTTTTCAGAAGCTTCGGAATCACTTCGGTCATTTTCGGAAGCTGTCGGGTCATCTTCGAGAATGTTTGGTTATTTCTGAGGATGTTGTGACAAAATCGGAGCATTTGGAGACAACTTTTGAGATTTTCCGAAACACTGCAAATACGTCGGGTCAACTTTCGATACCGTCGATGCTCAGAAAAGATAAGGCGAAGTTTCAAAGTAGTACTGTTATCGAGTTTTATGCGAGCTTGATTTGAGCGTTCTCGTTCAATCACAGAAATACCGGTACATTCAAACGTTGGGGAATGGCTTACGGGGCTTTAAATATCGTTTTGTTTGATGTTAGACCTTGAAGGAAATCAAGAAAAGAACGTGTTTCAAATGACCACTAGAGCAACTGAGTGAAAGGCTGAATATGCAGTTTTGGGTCAAAAACTTGCAACATCCGTTTTTCGAGTCGAGAGAGGCATAAAAAACCGCGTGTTTGCAATTTATAACCAGTCCCCGGACGACTTTGGCGATGTTTTGATCTTAAACTTGTAGGGTGTTCCAATCCGTCTTGAAGTGGGACCACGTGACGTGAAGGCAGGGCAAGCGGTTATGGTACGAAGAGATACAGGAGAAAAGGTAACTACGCCTGCAAAGCTAGGTGGAGTTAAATCTGTTTCTTTAAGTACCATGCCATGGCGGCCATGTTTGATTTTATCACTGGGGAAGGGTTACTGGTCGTTTCGATAGAAAGTCGTTTCGATACGAGTCGTTCGATGCAAGTTTATTCAGTAAATAGCTCCACGAATTTGGCTTGAAGAACGAAGAGTATTCATCCAAAATGTTTTTCTTGTTCACGCGCAAACTATACTTGAAGAGAATGAAATTTTTGTGCAATTTCAGTGCGAGTTCATATCGGAACGATTTTGTATCGAAACGACCGGTTTCCCTGAGGAATGGGGAGAGGAGAAATAGCAACCCATAGGGTAGATGTTAGTTAGAAAGAAGGGGGGAGGGAGAGGGGAGGAAACAGTACTCTCTGCTCTTCTCTCTCTGTACCCGCTGCCCCTCCCCCCCTCTTGATTCGCCCAACTCCTCAACATTTTGCAGTTGAAGCCGTCATGAGCAAAAATGAAAATTTGAAATACTGAACTGAATCCTCTTGTGAGTTTGATCACTGTAACAATCACAAGATGGTTTCTCCCATTTCTCATGCTCATGTCTAACCCCACATACACAATACACTTTATTTTGTGATCGAAATGCACCCTACACGTTCCATGAGTAGCCACTATTTGGTCAATGTTTTAAATACACACAACAAAGCAATTAGAGACCTAATACAAACTCAGTAAAACTGGACATACGACCAGAGACACTGATATACTATGACAACCACCAGTTATGACTAGAGATTACTGATACACTAATACAATAAAATTATGACAACCACGAGTTGAGAGTTTGAATGATTTCTTGGAGATCATTGTAACAGTCTTCTGAAGCTCTGACGTCAAAAAGTATTTTTTTCTCTTATTTTCCTTTTTAAGGCATTTTTTGAAAGATTTCATAAATGCTGAGGCATTTCATTCCATAGTTTTTGTTTCTTAATGCAACAGTCAAAGGTCATGACAGTTTTTCCCTTTGCCCCTGAACAAATCTGTGAGTCTTACTGCTCAAAGCCAAACTGACTTTTTTTCCTCTGGTGTACATGTAATGTTTTCCTTTGCTTTCCCGTAGAATTCTGTCAATCATATTACGCTGAAGACATCTGTGGAGTCACCGAGCGTATCTCCTACCACTGATACAAACAAGTAAGACTGCATTTTGTACGTTTGCATGTTCCATGTTGCACAAAACAAAATTATGGATGTTTGGGGCTTTATTGTGAGTTACAAGTTTGCACAGGTACCTGGGTCAAAATTTGTTCCCCAAACTATCCCATAGATGCAATCTGATACAACTCCTGACCCAGTTTCCAAATGTGTGCAACCCCTCAGGAATGGCCAGCGAGAGTGTAGCTCCACAGCGTTGTACGTCCCAAGGACCCAGCGCAAGCACAAAACAGCACTGGGCAGGCTTTCTCCCAAAGGTCTCTGCATTAAAAAAGGTAAAGGGTAGCAACCATATTTGACGTCGATTAACTGTGACAGATAATAATTGAGGTCTGATTGCGCGTTTTATTTGATTCTCTCCAATTCAATGTCTGTTTTATGATATTTGTGTTTGGGGTCAGCCACAGCAGCTGAGAGAAGCTGAAATATGGATGGTCATGGGAGATCAACCAGTCTGCACCGAAGGCCGTTAACCAGCCATACTGCAAGCTCTTCTCTCACTGAAGGATTGTTCAAAGATGGAAAGATAGGGATGTTAGCAGTCCAAACGGAACAGGGGTGTTTTATTAGTTAAACCCTGTAACTCCCAACTCTCACATGTTTTATTGGTAAATTTTGAAAGTTCGTGTGAATAGGTACCATCAAGCCCATTTATTCCATCCATCATGATCCACACAGGTTACGTGTATTTATTTTGCTCATACGACCTGAATTTTATTTCAGAGCAAAGAAGGAAACAGCTGCCAATACTAGCAAACGCACCTGGTCTGAGTCTCAACGCCTCACAGATACAAAAGGTGTGTGTGTGGATTCCCCACCTTCTAGAAGCGTGCGACGAAGGACAGTTCAAGAAAAATGAGAAACTACGTTGGAAAAATACAAGAAAACAATCAATCTGCAATGACAATATTGCTTAACAGCTAAAGTTCTAATCAGCACATACTAATATGAGAAATTTCAACCTAATAAACTTGGAGTTCATTTTTTACGGGAAAGTGGAAAGCGCATTCTTGTCTCTGACTCTGAACTCTCTCGCCTGAACTCGCCTTCTTTCAACGGAGTTGTATACATATTTGATAACCAAATTTAAGTGTTCGTGTGGAGATTTTCCGACCAGCTACAGCACGTGAGAAATCAGTTAACTAGACTGGCCTTTCCTGCATTTGAACACCGTGAGGCGAGGTCTCGGTCAACCGCGCCTATACGAAAATAGGCGTTCTGCATACCGTAATAAACATGAACATTCGACCAACTTTTCCTATATCTCTATTTCAGATCATCCAGGCGCCGTTTTGTGGTGATGGGACTTGCGAAGGCAAGATCAAGAAAGATAGTGCAAGGTATTGAACACATTCGAAATGCCAGGCTCCGTCCACAAGATGTGGCATATTTAATGTTGATATTTCTATGCGTGCCAAGGATCTAAATGGTTCTGAATAACTAGCAAGAATTCTTTTCAGAAATAATAATGATAGAAACTTTTTTCTGTGTAATAAACGAAATTTTGTTGACGAAAAAAGTTCTTGACCACGACTAATGAAAAGCCCATCATTTTCAGTTCTTTGCTTACATTTTGTCTTTGTAGATCACCGTTATGTTATGTAGAACTCATGAATATGACTTCCGGCCACTGTACCCACCAATCTCCTACCACACTTCTTAGACCATGTTGACATTATACTGCCGGGGATAGCTTTTGCCCTGCCATGAAATTCCTATCGGATAGTGCTTTTGTTCACACACAAGAACGGTTGTGGCGGCGCGATTTCAGTGACGCAGCAAAGCTTTCCCCGTCGATCTCTCTAAAGTGGAGCGTCACATATCGGATAGGTGTTCATACTCTATCGGATAGCTTAAGCGCCGCCACAAAATTCATACGGATAGGATTCCTGTTCACACACAAAAATAGTTATGGTAGTCAGTGACCCAGCGAAGCCCGCGCTGCAGCGACCTCTAAAGCGGAGAGTCACATATCGGGTAGGTGTACACACTATAGCGGACAGCTTTTCGTGTCGCCAAGAGCATCTGTCCGGTATAGAGAGTACATAGCCTCAAGGCTGGAAAATTGTGACAGTTATCAAAGTTCACCCTATTCTGTTGTTCTTATATATTGAAACAGAGATTGAGAAATTGTATTGTGATGATTAAATGTTGTCGTTTCTCAGGGACCAAGATTTGGAGGCAGGAGCCCCGTCCATGGGCGCCAAAAGTTTGTGTATCCCGTTTGACCAGCCCATGGAGTTAACCGCTGACGCAAAGTGTGTTTACCCGGAGTGTGATCAACCCGCCAAGTATTACACGCTATTTGGCAGAAGTTATTAAGGCAACATCAATCTTATATTATATAATTGCAGAAGTCTGGCTTCTCTCGCTAACAATTTTTCTCCGGTTTGTTCAATCCTGTGTTTGTATCGACATTTTCCTATGGTAGCCTGGAAAAGCTATTTCTATTCAAGGCTCGTTGCCTGTATCAAGAGCGTCAATGGCTGTTGTCTCTGTAGAATAGATCAAACTGCGACCGACCGTGGACTGGTCACTAGTCCATCGTCCGTTGCAAAGCGCGGAATGGTTAGTGATGTTACAAATTTCCTTATAGGACTTGAGCTAAATCAGATAAATGCAGGTAATGGCTATCATTGCCGTAGTCTCTAAACGCTTCTATGGCGTTTCCTGAACAGTTCTGTTTTAGTACCATTTAGTGAGTATTTAGTGCAAGATTGTATCAAAGCCAAAGGCTAGAATAAAAATATCTTCAATGCGCGTTATTTTATTTAATCGCAGCGCGCGGGAGCCTAAAATTGGAGAGGTATGCATATTCGGTCCTGGACAACTTCATATACATAAAAATGCAGAGACGTAGCGTAAAGGCTTACCAGAATGGAAAACTCTTCACTTCCGGTTGACGCCTTTGTTTAAGTTCCCTTTTGACACCGGTGAATCAAGGCACGTGTGAGGGAGTGTATCCACCCCCAATCAGTGGGGAAGGGGTGGCCTCGACATAGTGACTTTGCACGTTTGTCGCAATTAACCCTTTCAGAATCCCATTTAGGGCTACTGACACCTTTGAAGTTTTTAGTTTTGATAAAGGCGGCTGCCATTCATCGAAACTGTCAGCGTCATTAGGATTTTTCTTTCGGGCTATGCTTTAAGAACATTTGAATAGATATTTGAACTTACTAGCCTAATTAATTTCTTCAAAAGTGTATCCTTTTTGCCCACCCTAGCCTGCGTAACTTGAATTCTTTTGCCGGGGGACTTCCTTGGCGGCTCCGTCGCCACGCGAAGCGAGCGGCGAAGCTGCCAAAAAACTACAGCGCTCCCTCTAATCCCGCCAGCTACGCAGGCTATACCCACCCCCCTACTTTTTTCACTCAGGGCCAGATCTATTTAAGGTATATCTTTCGGACACCATTGTCTAAAGAAGGAACATATTATGGATCGCTGACATCTAAAACCAAACATTGTTCCGGCATTGCAACGATGTGTTGTGCTAAAAATCGTCGTTGCGCATCGTCGCGTGTAACAAAAAGTTCTTGGTATTATCTGAGTAATTGTACACCAAGTACCTACCGAAAGTTCGATTTGAAACCGCTGGTAATCGAGCCTGAATGTTCTAAATGGCGGTATATACTTCATGGTGGAAAGCCACAAGTGCACCGGTAATATACACTCTGTGTAGTATGTAGTATTGTGTCTTCTCCCCAATACCTATTGGTAGTTACTAGTAGTTACTAGTAGTTACTAGTAGTTAATGGTAGTTATTAGTAGTTACTAGTAGTTGTCGGTAGTTACTAGTAGTTGTCGGTAGTTACTGGTAGTTATTAGTAGTTACTGGTAGTTACTAGTAGTTATCGGTAGTTACTAGTAGTTATTAGTAGTTACTGGTAGTTATTACTAGTTCCTGGTAGTTACTAGTAGTTAGTGGTAGTTATTAGTAGTTACTGGTAGTTACTAGTAGTTACTAGTGGTTACTAGTAGTTATTAGTAGTTACTGGTAGTTATTAGTAGTTCCTGGTAGTTACTAGTAGTTATCGGTAGTTGGTGGTATTTATTGGTAGTTACTAGTAGTTAGTGGTAGTTATTAGTAGTTACTGGTAGTTACTAGTAGTTACTAGTAGTTACTAGTAGTTATTAGTAGTTACTGGTAGTTATTAGTAGTTCCTGGTAGTTACTAGTAGTTATCGGTAGTTACTAGTAGTTACTGGTAGTTGGTGGTATTTATTGGTAGTTACTAGTAGTTAGTGGTAGTTATTAGTAGTTACTGGTAGTTACTAGTAGTTACTAGTAGTTATTAGTAGTTACTGGTAGTTATTAGTAGTTACTGGTAGTTACTAGTAGTTATCGGTAGTTACTAGTAGTTACTGGTAGTTGGTGGTATTTATTGGTAGTTACTAGTAGTTAGTGGTAGTTATTAGAAGTTACTGGTAGTTACTAGTAGTTACTAGTAGTTACTAGTAGTTATTAGTAGTTACTGGTAGTTATTAGTAGTTCCTGGTAGTTACTAGTAGTTATCGGTAGTTACTAGTAGTTACTGGTAGTTGCTGGTATTTATTGGTAGTTACTAGTAGTTAGTGGTAGTTATCAGTAGTTACTGGTAGTTACTAGTAGTTACTAGTAGTTACTAGTAGTTATTAGTAGTTACTGGTAGTTATTAGTAGTTACTGGTAGTTACTAGTAGTTATCGGTAGTTACTAGTAGTTACTGGTAGTTGGTGGTATTTATTGGTAGTTACTAGTAGTTAGTGGTAGTTATTAGTAGTGACTGGTAGTTACTAGTATTTACTAGTAGTTACTAGTAGTTATTAGTAGTTACTGGTAGTTATTAGTAGTTCCTGGTAGTTACTAGTAGTTATCGGTAATTACTAGTAGTTACTGGTAGTTGGTGGTATTTATTGGTAGTTACTAGTAGTTAGTGGTAGTTATTAGTAGTTACTGGTAGTTACTAGTAGTTACTAGTAGTTACTAGTAGTTATTAGTAGTTACTGGTAGTTATTAGTAGTTCCTGGTAGTTACTAGTAGTTATCGGTAGTTACTAGTAGTTACTGGTAGTTGGTGGTATTTATTGGTAGTTACTAGTAGTTAGTGGTAGTTATTAGTAGTTACTGGTAGTTACTAGTAGTTACTAGTAGTTACTAGTAGTTATTAGTAGTTACTGGTAGTTATTAGTAGTTACTGGTAGTTACTAGTAGTTATCGGTAGTTACTAGTAGTTACTGGTAGTTGGTGGTATTTATTGGTAGTTACTAGTAGTTACTGGTAGTTATTAGTAGTTACTGGTAGTTACTGGTATTTACTAGTAGTTACTGGTAGTTGCTAGTAGTTGCTGGTAGTTACTAGTAGTTACTAGTAGTTAACGGTAGTTATTGGTATTTATTAGTAGTAGCTAGTAGTTGCTGGTAGTTACTAGTAGTTACTGGTAGTTATTAGTAGTTCCCGGTAGTTACTAGTAGTTATCGGTAGTTATTAGTAGTTACTGGTAGTTGGTGGTATTTATTGGTAGTTATTAGTAGTTACTGGTAGTTATTAGTAGTTACTGGTAGTTATTGGTATTTACTAGTAGTTACTGGTAGTTGCTAGTAGTTGCTGGTAGTTACTAGTAGTTACTAGTAGTTATCGGTAGTTATTGGTATTTACTAGTAGTTGCTAGTAGTTGCTGGTAGTTACTAGTAGTTACTGGTAGTTATTAGTAGTTCCCGGTAGTTACTAGTAGTTACTGGTAGTTGGTGGTATTTATTGGTAATTACTAGTAGTTACTGGTAGTTAGTGGTAGTTATTAGTAGTTACTAGTCTACTGGTAGTTAGTAGTAGTTCCTAGTAGTTATCGGTAGTTACTAGTAGTTACTAGTAGTTGCTAGTTGTTGTCGGTATTTACTAGTAGTTACTGGTAGTTACTAGTAGTAGCTGGTAGTTACTAGTAGTTACTAGTAGTTATCGGTAGTTATTGGTATTCACTAGTAGTTGCTAGTAGTTGCTGGTAGTTACTAGTAGTTACTTGTAGTTATTAGTAGTTCCCGGTAGTTACTAGTAGTTATCGGTAGTTACTAGTAGTTACTGGTAGTTACTAGTAGTTACTGGTAGTTGGTGGTATTTACTGGTAATTACTAGTAGTTACTGGTAGTTACTAGTAGTTGCTGGTAGTTACTAGTAGTTACTAGTAGTTATCGGTAGTTATTGGTATTCACTAGTAGTTGCTAGTAGTTGCTGGTAGTTACTAGTAGTTACTGGTAGTTATTAGTAGTTACTGGTAGTTACTAGTAGTTATCGGTAGTTAATAGTAGTTACTGGTAGTTACTAGTAGTTCCTAGTAGTTATCGGTAGTTACTGGTAGTTACTAGTAGTTGCTAGTTGTTGTCGGTATTTACTGGTAGTTGCTGGTAGTTACTAGTAGTTGCTGGTAGTTACTAGTAGTTACTAGTAGTTATCGCTAGTTATTGGTATTTACTAGTAGTTGCTAGTAGTTGCTAGTAGTTACTAGTAGTTACTGGTAGTTATTAGTAGTTAACGGTAATTACTAGTAGTTACTGGTAGTTAGTGGTAGTTATTAGTAGTTACTGGTAGTTACTAGTAGTTATCGCTAGTTACTAGTAGTTACTGGTATTTACTAGTAGTTACTAGTAGTTGATGGTAGTAATCAGGGACCGCGGAGCAAGGTGAAAAGTGGGAGGGCTGACAACTGAAAATAATTTTTTCTAATAAACGACCAACATACACTGTCAGTTCAGATGTAGTGCAGGAAAAGACGGGATTAGAATTTTAGTATAGAAAATACTACACTGAAGTGATGGCCGTTCACTGTTCAAGTAATGTAATTCTTCTTGCCATCGAATATTTCATTGATTCGAAAGGAGAAAGACAAAGTATAAAAATTTTATCAACTCAAAACAACTACTCACCCTCGTTTGGCTTGAAAAAGCTAGTAATTTTCTTCATTTCGTCTGATAAAACTGATAAAAAACTCTGCCGGAGCTGGAAGTACAAAACACGCTGCCGAACGAAGCGAAGAGGTGGCCAAGGCATGGCGTTTGATCAAGGGGCAAGTCGGCCCCAGGGCACAATTACCGCGAAAAGCACAGGAAAGCCACAAAATGCCTGGCGTTTGAAATTAAAGAAAATACAGAGAATATAGCGGAATATAGACGGAAAAAAACTTGTTTCAAGTCTTTTTTTAATTTTAATTATTTTTCTTTTTAGCACAAAAAGTGGGGGCGGGGGCGCAAAAAAGTGGTGGGGCCGCGGCCCTACCAGCCCCTCCCCCTCCGCGGTCCCTGGTAATTGGTATTTACTAGTAGTTACTGGTAGTTGCTAGTAGTTGCTGGTATTTAACAGTAGTTACTGGTAGTTGCTAGTAGTTGCTGGTAGTTACTAGTATTTACTAGTAGTTGATGGTAGTTACTAGTAGTTACTGGTAGTTATTAGTAGTTCCCGGTAGTTACTAGTAGTTTTCGGTAGTTACTAGTAGTTACTGGTAGTTGGTGGTATTTATTGGTAATTACTAGTAGTTCCCGGTAGTTACTAGTAGTTAACGGTAATTACTAATAGTTACTGGTAGTTAGTGGTAGTTATTAGTAGTTGCTGGTAGTTACTAGTAGTAATCGGTAGTTACTAGTAGTTACTGGTAGTTACTAGTAGTTCCTTAGTAGTTATCGGTAGTTACTAGTAGTTACTGGTAGTTGGTGGTATTTATTGGTAGTTACTAGTAGTTAGTGGTAGTTATTAGTAGTTACTGGTAGTTACTAGTAGTTGTCGGTAGTTATTAGTAGTTCCTGGTAGTTACTAGTAGTTATCGGTAGTTACTAGTAGTTACTGGTAGTTGGTGGTATTTATTGGTAGTTATTAGTAGTTACTGGTAGTTACTAGTAGTTGTCGGTAGTTACTAGTAGTTGCTGGTAGTTACTAGTAGTTGCTGGTAGTTACTAGTAGTTGTCGGTAGTTACTAGTAGTTGGTGGTAGTTACTAGTAGTTTCCGGTAATTGCTAGTAGTTACTAGTGGTTAATGGTAGTTTTTGGTATTTACTAGTAGTTACTGGTAGTCACTGGTAGTTATTATATTAGTAGTTGTCGGTAGTTGCTTGTAGTTATCGGTAGTTACTAGTAGTTAGTGGTAGTTACTAGTAGTTGCTGGTAGTTACTAGTAATTACTGGTAGTTACTAGTAGTTTTCTGTAGTTACTAATAGTTGGTGGTAGTTATTGGTAATTACTAGTAGTTACTGCTGGTTACCAGTAGTTGCTGGTAGTTACTAGTAGTTGCTGGTAGTTACTGGTAGTTGCTGGTAATTACTGATTCGAGTCGACTGTTTTCATTTGCCGCGACTATTTCTGTTGACGCTGTTGAAGTGAAAGTCTAGAAATGTAACAGAGCACTTTATGTCAGGTTCGGCGCGGAAAAACAGTTATATTTTTCCGCAAGTAATCATGTTTCCCTTGTTGATTTCGTCTCTCTAAACATCAGGACTCTCGGCGTTCTCAATTCCTTTCCTGTAGGTTCCGCCAGTGTGGCATTAAACCAATGTTCACACAAAGCAATCACTTTAAGTAGACTTCATTTGTGATAGCCTGCGCGCAGACGAAATTAAACTCTTAGAGTTTAGTTATCGTCTGCACGCAGGCTACATTTGTGAAAGTTTATCTTAAAGCTAATATGCCTTTACACTGAATGACAGGTTGGCTCATATATTCCATTTAAAGTGACATGTATTTCAGTCTCAATATCATAACTCTTTGCCTTTAATTTTATTTCTACTAATTTATAAAAACATTACTTAATGATGTCGCTGACATAGTCATTATCACATTGAAAACCTTGTAAACAGTAATAGTCTTCAATGTGTTTGAAGTAAATATCCATTTACTAGTCGTAGTAGTCCTTTGTAAAATAAATGTTACACTAAAGGTTCTTTTTCTATAATTGGATGCAAACAGTTTTTAATTATCTAATTGTATTACGGCTGCGAAGATGGATCTTTACTAACCTTTTTTTTTTTTCTTTTTTTTTTTGCGAACGTAGCAGCAATTTTTGAGATTACCACCTCCTTCTGAATATAAAGTGATCTTTATTTCTTGGTTTTTAAAGTGTGATCATGTCAAGATTTGATTAGTTATACTTAAGTTATACTTTGTACTTTCTGGCGTTGAAAGTTTGCACTTGTCATCACTGTGGCAAGTGGCCTTGTGGCACCATTTTTGATGTTTTTTTTCTGCATCGTAAAGATCCGTCAGCAGTGCACTGCAGCTCGATCAAGTGGCGCCATCGCGAGATGTTGGCTGTTTTCTCTGGCTGTACCGAGGCTTTACCGAGCTATAAAGATTCAGTATCGTTTTTTGAAATACTGAGACATCTATTTTTTTTTTTTTGCATTTTTTAACATGATTGCAATTATACTAACAATTGAAATTAATGGTAGTTGATCGCCCAGTTTATTATTACAGAATTAATATGTTACCATTATTTTAAGTTTCTTGATTAAATACAGTTTTAATAGTACGGTAGTTCATCTTCTTGTCATGGTACATATCTAGGCGACAGGTGAGTCTCCATCATTAAGTTGGCTTTCTGATAGACAACTTAAAATAGCGTCTAGTCGTCTTTTTTTGTAATCAAGCTTTCCAATGACTTGTGCGAGGGACTTCGTGTTTAATTTGACGTCAGAATTACTCCCAGCGCTGCTTTGAATTACATAGTTATATAGGGTAGAAATATTTTCCTTAGATGGTAAAATGCTGGTTGAGTATAGAAATGATTCAGTCATATCTAAGATACAGCCCTCAAGTTCACTCCATCCTCCACTATGGTTTGTTATTCCATTTTCCTTCAAAAATTGCGAGCCCCTCTGCCGCTTTAGAGATGGTGGACTGGATAGACCTGATTTCCTTTTTCCCGTGGGCAAGTCTTTATTTTTTTCTAAGCTGGACTCTTTTTCTCCATAGATGTTTTTGGAGTTGTACCAGTGACAATTTTTACAGCCGAGGCCGTTCACAAAACAAGGACACTTTGTTCTATTCCTGCCTTGCACGTCTGTGCACAATTCAACTTTGGAACTTTTAAGTTTTTCGCGTTCTCCACATCTACACTGCGTCTTAAGTTGTTTTGATTTGTTGCCTGTTATGTTTCCACAGTTTCTACACTTACATCTATCCAATGAACATTTCTGTCCGCTGTTCACACAAGGACACCTCGACGTTTGGCCCCAAGAGTTTACTGCGCATGCCAGTTTCTCTCTTGACTTTATTTTGCTGCCACAGCTGCATCCTCTTCTCTCATTTGCTTTTGTTTCAGTTCCTTTATCAATTGTAGTACCTATTTGAAGAGAAAATTTAAGTTTAAATCTAGCAATATTTTTTGTGTAGTTTAGTAACGCTACCATGGCCTTTAAATGTCTTACTCCCAGCGTGCCGGAGCACCTTTCTCCCAGTTCATTATGCGAGGAGAAATAGGCGGGCGTGCCACGAGTTCACAGACACTGAACATTCCACTTTTTAATTCCAGCAGTGGTCAGAGGACGTTTTATTATAGAATAGTCAGTATCTGGAACTCCATGGATAACCTTCTTAAAACTTTTGAGTCAGTATCTGCTTGTAAGTTTTTATCATATCATTTAACTTTGGTGTGAATATTTCTATTAGAGTTTTTAAGTAAAAGTGTTTTAAAATTAATTAATAAATTATACGTCTGATAAATATTATTGTAAATATTTTGAGCGTCCTTGAAGATGTTTATTGTAATAAATTTTTATCTTTTTAGTCGTATGTAACTAATTGAATTATTGTCTTTGAAAAGCCTCTATGAGGAAAGTCAATAAAGTATGTATGTATGTACGTAAACGAGTTCGAATAGGATCACAACAAAGTTCAGACCGAGACAGTAAAATTTATCGCCTTGCTGCTCTCATTCTCAAGTATACTTTATAACATTTGGTCTTTTCACGTCATAGTTGTGCGGGGACGGCAAAGAATCGAATCAACCACCAAAAAATGTGCTGCAAGTGTAAAGTTTTTGTTTGTGTTTTTGTTTTGTCGTTTCTGGAGACCCCAAAGTGAGAGCGTACTAGCCATTACTAGATTTTAGCCCTCTCCCTTAGGAGAGACGGCTTAATTACACTATAAGGGGCTGTTTACATGGAGGTGAGGGACCCCAGGTAGGTGAGGTAACCAGCTTAGGTGGGGTAACCCGCCTGTCCATATAATCTCCATTTTAATTTGATGACGTTTAAATGATATTTGGGGTGACCCGCCAAGGCGAATAGCCCGGTTTGTAACCCTCTCAGCCGGAGTCAAATTTTGCCATGTAAACGTTCAAGGTGGGGTAACCCGCCTAGGAGGGGTCCGATTCGTGACACATCAAATTCGCGCAAAATTAACTTTGGCGGTGACTTTGCATCATTATTAAAGGTAACAATAGAAAGCCACAGCACTGAAGGTTGCAGCAAGAGCAACAAGGGAGTGTAGAAGAGTATTAATCGCCAAAAAACGTGGTTTTCCATCATATTTCTTGTTTACGTGCTTAGCGACCATTCAATAATCTTGAGAAAGTGCACCCCGGGATGACGTGGTTGCAAGATTGCGTGTAAAGGAGGGTTAATTTTTTACCCCACCTAAACAAGTATTTGTTATATAAAATACCAGCTGAGCTATCCGCACGAAAACATGATATCTTCACATGTGAAAGTAACATAGTAGGGTCCTTAAGATACAAGGACACCCACGGCAGGTAAAACTTCTCTTAAAAAATGAATTTGTGGTTTTGCAGTCTTCATCGCTCTTACTCCATTTCGCCTACTTTGTCCTACTTTTTGATTAGCCTTCAGATCGTACTTTATCTAATATAATAACTGCTAATTGTTAATTTTACCTAAATCGTGTGGTTTTGTGGCATCATAGTGACCTGCTCCATAATAATGATAAGCCACATGAATAAACGTACTGGACAGGGGTCTGCTCGGAAGGAATGGAATGTACGGCAAGGATGTCAATGACGTAACCACCATGATTGGTATCCGAAGGATCTCTGCGCAGACTTTCATGACAAAGTCACCTAGGGCTGTGTCAAACACGCCTCGCCTTTTAAACAGGTGCGCCGTTTGAAATATCGTGTACCTATCTTGAGTTGGAAGAAAGGTTAGTAACTCGTTGTCCTCTTTTAGGATTTCTTCTACAAAGCACTCACGTAGCACTGCGGTGTCTTCATCCTCGGATTTCATAAGACCTATGTGTTTGAGATGACTCAACAAATCATTATGATCTTCCCCGCAGGCGGAACTTAATGTCCTAATAATACTACGAAAGGCGCAATCTCCATCTTTAGGTATCTCGTCAATTTGTAGATGAAAACTCGACAGATTTCTAGACAGAGAGGTTAAGTGGTCTCGAACGGTAGGATCGCTATTATCATCTTCATCCTCCATACTAGCATGATGCATTGTCAGGCCGTTTGTGTTTGCTAGCAAAAACAAGTCGGCACTATTAAATGATCTGTTAAATTTCCCTTTCGTAAAGTTTTTTAAAATCAAGTGGTTTGAAATAGCCGCCTGGAGAATTCCTTGCGCCACAGTTTCTGAGCAAACATCTTCGATTTTGTCCGCAACAACCAGAACCTCGTCACTTCCATTTATAATATCCTTTGTCGATTGATCATTTTTGCGTGCTTGATCATGACTGCTGTCATTTTCTGAATATGGATTCACTTGGAAGGGGTGCCATTCATTCACTTTCTTTGTGCTTTCAGATAATGGGAGCACGTTCCTACTAATTGGTGGTACACACTGAACCCTCGCATTGCAAATATGTTTCCTATTGCACGAAACTCTCTTGCTATGATTATAAAATAAAATCATTAGGATGGCAACAGCGAGTTCTATCGTGATCCTTGTTGCTCCTGATAAAAGCGATCTGTTTAATAACCGGTGTAGTAGTTACTACCATCAACTACTAGTAACTACTAGTAAATACCAGTAACTACTAGTAACTACCGATAACTACTAGTAACTACCAGTAACTACTAATAACTACCACTAACTACCAGTAACTACTAGTAATTACCGTTAACTACTAGTAACTACCGGGAACTACTAATAACTACCAGTAACTACTAGTAACTACTAGCAACTACTAGCAACTACTAGTAAATACCAATAACTACCGATAACTACTAGTAAGTACTAGTAACTACCAGCAACTACTAGTAACTACCAGCAACTACTAGTAAATACCGACAACAACTACAACCCCGGACAAAACTGTTGAGACAATTCCATCTATTTTCTAACTTTTGCGCCCTACTCCCGTCTCCCCTAAACACAAAAAGTAAACCCCCTCCCCACCCCCTATTCAAAGTTGCCTTGGTCTAAAAACCAACGTGTATAATTGCCATGCTATCCTAAACAACTTTGGATAAGGGGAGGGGGGAAATCGGGCATTCATTTGGCGGCGGTTTCAGTTTTTGCCGGGATGACAGGAAAAAATAGGCATTTTCGCGATTTGTCTCAACAGGTTTTGTCCGGGGTTGTCTGCGTACTGTTTTCGGTATTCTTTAACTTTCATAGCAATTACCTCAAGTTATAGTCCTCTCTTTTGGTCAAATTGATAACAGCCATTGTTTCAGCATACTTTTTTTTTCTTTTGAATGCGAAATAAAATTTTTACAGTAAAAATTGAAGTTATAACACTCTGATTACATGATCTGTCAAATGACATTTACTCTGTGACGTTACCATGGGCGTGACTTTCAACGGCTTACGTGTCCGTAGACGCTTTGCCTGCTCAAATGATGACATTGATATGTAATCGCCAGACAAAATGGATCTCTCGAGAACTTCCGATAGTGACGAATCATTTTCAGGAGGCTCGGAAATATCGCATGAATCACTAGGTGAGAGGAAGGTTAGTGCGCTTATCTGGTCACTTACAGTCACGCGAATTTGGCTCATTTTTCCATCCCGCGAGTAATTTGCCTTAGCAGTGATTACGTCGTTCGCCAAGTTTAGTGCAAAGATCCTACACTTAATAGGACAACATTGCCTCAGTTACAGCAAATGTGGAATTGTGTACGAACGGGAATGTGGTATCATGGATCTCTCATTTCTCCACGCAGATCCCGCGGGAACAATAACGGGAAATCCCTTGATGTGTAAGGTGCTTCGATGAGCTTGCTATGCAACAAAAACGGAGTAGTTTTTCTCGCAGACGGTTAACTTAACGAATAAAGTACCGCAGAGGAAAGAAACATCGGTTAACGACGGTTAACAACGGTTAACAACTTTTCTGAAGAAAAACAACAGTTAGACTATCAGTTTCCTTTAATATATTCTGTTAACCGCTGTTAACCGTTGTTAACCGTTGGAATAAACATGTGCGTACCTGTTAATCGTTTATTTCAAGCGTTTACGGTGCTTTCAAGCATTTTCCGTAGTATATAGAACCTTTTTGTTGATTTTCAAGCATTAAAAAGACCTTTTTACTTAAGGGAAAACTTTTTGACACTGGTGTAATTGTCATGAAGTGCGCTGTTTTTTGCCACAAAAGAACTGCCATCGTGTGACAACATGTTTTCGCTGTATTTGTGATCAAAGAGGCATTGCTTTCCCTACACATCCTATTTCTACCCATTTTGGAAGTTCTTCATTAATATTTGTTCTTTTGGCCTTGGTTGTCATAGAAGAATTAACGGTTTTATCGGCATGGATTCCATTATTTTGTCAAGTAGATAATCTGGTATATATGTTGTAAATTGTTCTAATTACACACTCAGTAAACGTGGGTATTGTTAACTCGGTGAAGCTTACTTTTTCAGTTCTACTTTAACTACATGGAGAAAGTTGTCACTGCAACTAAGTATCACTACCTCTAAGGGTTATTTTTAACTGCTCCGCCGCATTCTTGAGTCCTCGTGCATGACCTGCACACCACGCACTATTATTTTTTAACAGGACAGTTGTGCTGTGCAAATATAATAAATACCCAGTCTTATCTAATTTGTTCGACATGTAAGCACAATTAACGTTGGTAAAATGGCCGGAGGTAAGGCTCCTATTATAAGATATCATATTTGTGACACACAGTAACTCCTTAACCGTGGCCACCAACCACAATTAATTTCAATACTTTTCCTGTAAAGAGCATGATTTCTTTCTCATTTAGGTATAAGGTTTCTAATTTATGGCTAAATTTCTAAGTGCATAATTAATGCGTCCTAATTGTTTTTATGACACCTTCTTTCGTAGTCACAAAGCTTTAGACAAGTACAACATCTGTGCAAAAAATCAATACCCTCCGACCTTACATCGCGAAGTTACAGCGATTTGAACAACTGGCCTTCACAGACAACCCCGGACAAAACTGTTGAGACAATTCCATCTATTTTCTAACTTTTGCGCCCTACTCCCGTCTCCCCTAAACACAAAAAGTAAACCCCCTCCCCACCCCCTATTCAAAGTTGCCTTGGTCTAAAAACCAACGTGTATAATTGCCATGCTATCCTAAACAACTTTGGATAAGGGGAGGGGGGAAATCGGGCATTCATTTGGCGGCGGTTTCAGTTTTTGCCGGGATGACAGGAAAAAATAGGCATTTTCGCGATTTGTCTCAACAGGTTTTGTCCGGGGTTGTAGCAACTACTAGTAACTACTAGTAACTACCGATAACTACTAGGAACTACTAGTAACTACCAGTAACTACTATTAACTACCGATAACTACTAGTAACTACCAGTAACTACTAATAACTACCAGTAACTACTAGTAACTACCAGCAACTACTAGCAACTACTACTGAATACCAATAACTACCGATAACTACTAGTAACTACTAGTAACTACCAGCAACTACTAGTAACTACCAGTAACTACTAGTAATTACCAGTAAATACCACCAACTACCAGTAACTACTAGTAACTACCGATAACTACTAGTAACTACCGGGAACTACTAATAACTACCAGTAACTACTAGTAACTACCAGCAACTACTAGCAACTACTAGTGAATACCAATAACTACCGATAACTACTAGTAACTACTAGTAACTACCAGCTACTACTAGTAACTACCAGTAACTACTAGTAAATACCGACAACAACTAGCAACTACTAGTAACTACTAGTAACTACCGATAACTACTAGGAACTACTACTAACTACCAGTAGCTACTAGTAACTACCGATAACTACTAGTAACTACCAGTAACTACTAATAACTACCACTAACTACCAGCAACTACTAGTAATTACCAATAAATACCACCAACTACCAGTAACTACTAGTAACTACCGTGAACTACTAATAACTACCAGTAACTACTAGTAACTACCAGCAACTACTAGCAACTACTAGTAAATACCAATAAGTACCGATAACTACTAGTAACTACTAGTAACTACCAGCAACTACTAGCAACTACCAGTAACTACTAATAAATACCAATAACTAACAGTAACTACTAATAACTACCAGTAACTACTAGTAACTACCAATAAATACCACCAACTACCAGTAACTACTAGTAACTACCAGCAACTACTAGCAACTACTAGTGAATACCAATAACTACCGATAACTACTAGTAACTACTAGTAACTACCAGCTACTACTAGTATACCGACAACAACTAGCAACTACTTGTAACTACTAGTAACTACCAGTAACTACTATTAACTACCACTAACTACCAGTAACTACTAGTAATTACCAATAAATACCACCAACTACCAGTAACTACTAGTAACTACCGGGAACTACTAATAACTACCAGTAACTACTAGTAACTACCAGCAACTACTAGCAACTACTAGTAAATACCAATAACTACCGATAACTACTAGTAACTACTAGTAACTACCAGCAACTACTAGCAACTACCAGTAACTACTAGTAAATACCAATAACTACCAGTAACTACTAATAACTACCAGTAACTACTAGTAACTACCAATAAATACCACCAACTACCAGTAACTACTAGTAACTACCGATAACTACTAGTAACTACCAGGAACTACTAGTAACTACCGATAACTACTAGTAACTACCAGTAACTACTAATAACTACCAATAAATACCACCAACTACCAGTAACTACTAATAACTACCGATAACTACTAGTAACTACCGGGAACTACTAATAACTACCAGTAACTACTAGTAACTACCAGCAACTACTAGCAACTACTAATAAATACCAATAACTACCGTTAACTACTAGTAACTACTAGTAACTACCAGCAACTACTAGCAACTACCAGTAACTACTAGTAAATACCAGTAACTACCAGTAACTACTAATAACTACCAGTAACTACTAGTAACTACCAATAAATACCACCAACTACCAGTAACTACTAGTAACTACCGATAACTACTAGTAACTACCAGGAACTACTAATAACTACCAGTAACTACTAACAACTACTTGTAACTACTAGTAACTACTAGTAACTACCGACAACTACTAGTAACTACCAGTAACTACTAATAACTACCACTAACTACTAGTAACTACCAATAAATACCACCAACTACCAGTAACTACTAGTAACTACCGATAACTACTAGTAACTACCAGTAACTACTAACAACTACCAGTAACTACTAATAACTACTAGTAACTACTAGTAACTACTAGTAACTACCAGTAACTACTAATAACTACCACTAACTACTAGTAACTACCAATAAATACCAGCAACTACCAGTAACTACTAGTAACTACCGATAACTACTAGTAACTACCAGTAACTACTAATAATTACCAGTAACTACTAATAACTACTAGTAACTACTAGTAACTACTAGTAACTACCAGTAACTACTAATAACTACCACTAACTACTAGTAACTACCAA